TCCCTGCCTCAGTCTCCCCTTTCCAGTCCTGAGGTCTGAGTTTATCCTATCAATATGAACTTCTCCTGACTCATCTAAATTTAACTACTTACTTTGGCATAGAGATCTAGCAGCTGCTGGAAACAGGAAGTTGGCGCTGAGGTGCTTGGTTGACGGGGAAAGGTGCCAAAGAGCTAGCTAATTGCAGGTTGAAGTGTGTGGAAACAAGAAGTGAGGCTCACCTTGATATTTCCATTGGCATCTAACAGAATATTCTCCAGCTTGAGATCCCGGTGGACGATCCCATTCTGAAGGAGGAAGGAGCTGAGTTAGGGCAAGGTCACCAAAGAAGGGAAAGGGACAGGGGCCTAATTGGGAATGCACAGTAAACACAAAGGAAGCCAAGCATGGGGTAGGCGGGGTGCTCCTTTTGATTGCCATATGGTACAAGATATCACAGACCCTTCCCTCCATCCCTGACCAAAAGAACTCAAAGCCAGACACCAACATTCCCTCATCTGAGAGTCCAGAGTCCCTGCTGTTAAACCCATGTGATCCTGGACATGGCATGGAAATCTCTCTGGTCTGTCCAGATCCAGAGCCCCAGGGACCTCCCCTTTGGGGCATGGTCAAGGCAGCAGGTGGCGCTCACCTGGTGGCAGTAGTGCACGGCAGACACAATCTGCCGGAAGAAATGCCGGGCATCCCGCTCACTCAGCCGCTGCCGCTCACTAATGTAGTCATACAGGTCACCTCGGCTGGCGTATTCCATGACAATCACGATCTTGCTGCTGTTCTCAAATACTGGGCAGAGCAAGGTGGAGATGTCAGGCCCTCCCAGAGTGCACTGTGTCCCACCAGGGGCCAAAATCCCTCCCTGGCCCTGAACCAGATGGGGCCTTCTTTTAGGGTATCTGCTGATGGGGGCCCAGGGCTGCAGGGAAAGGCAGGGAAAGGCCTTTGAAGCACTCAGCGTCTTCCTGGTACAGCAAGTGAAGAAGCCTAAGTTCAGGCTTTTGAGGATTCTGAAAAGCCCCCCCAGGAAGGCAGAGCCCTTGCTGGATGAGAATGAAAGGCCAAGTTTATTGGCTCCAAATCTGATATTTTCTACCTTGTGACTTTGGTCAAAGCTCTTCTGGATACTTCAATAAGAATGCAGTTGGATGGGTGATCTTAGACAAGTCAACCAACCATTGTTCCTCAGTTTCCTCATATGAAAAGTGGGATAATAATGGCGATCTCACAGGACCAAGAAACATAAATATCACTGACTCTCCAAGTCTGACTGACCCAGCTGGCAGAGAGTCCAACACCAAAGCATGTACTACAGAAATAATAAAGCATGTACTACTCTTATTGTATTTATACTCAGCGTCCTCATGCATAATTTTGTTGTTTTGTTTTGTTTTTAGGTTGTTGTTTTGTTTTATTTGTTTAATGTGGTGCTGGGGATCGAACCCAGGGCCTCATGCCTACAGGCACTCTACTGCTGAGCTACAACCCCAGCCCTCCTCATGCCTAATTTTAATTTTTAAATTTTATTTAATTTTATTTTTGCAGTGATGGGGATTGAAACCAGGACCCTGTGCATGCAGGGTAAGTGCTCTACCACAGAGTTATATCACCAGCCCCTCATGCATAAATTTGAAAAATAATGCCAATAACAATGCCACGTTGAGGATCAGAAGAGGGATGAAAGTATATGAAACTATACAATATGGTGGAGAATGAAGACATTCATCCCTCCTACCACCTTTGACTTCTCATCCAGAATATTCAGGCCAGGCTTTCATGCATAATGCCTCATACAGAGAAGCAATCAATAAATATGTGGTAATTAATTGACTGGCTGGCCTCCTGGCAGTCAGCCTACCCCAGCTGGCCCATCTCCATGTATATATAGCAGGAATCATCTTGCCATCAATTGGGCCTTGTCCTGACATCTTTTTTTTTTTTTTTTTAAAGACAGGTGACTAAACCCTGAGATTCTCTATTTCTGAGCCATTTACCCAGTCTTTTTCATTTTTTATTTTGAGACAAGGTCTTGCTAGGTTGCTGAGCCTCAAGCTTGAGATCCTCCTGCCTGATCCTCCTGAGTAGCTGGATTTCACACAGGCACCACCACACATGGACATAAGGTTGACATTGCATCTTTGTGTCAAATGGGTCTTATGGGGGCTGGGGATGTGGCTCAAGCAGTGGAGCGCTCGCCTGGCATGCGTGCGGCCTGGGTTCGATCCTCAGCACCACATACCAACAAGGATGTTGTGTCCGCCGAGAACTAAAAAATAAATATTAAAAAAATTTTAAAAAAAAAAAAAATGGGTCTTATGAGTTTGGCTTGCGTGGCCAGCCCCAGAACTATTATTGCTGTCTAGCCTCTGAGAAGGAGCTGAGGGACGAGGCTTCTCCTAAGGAGTCCCAGCTCCCAGGCCACTGGATACAAGGCCAGGAAGACTATGCTTTTTTCTAGGGGAACATGGTGGCTCAGCTTCTTAGAAGGTACCTGGCTGGGACTGTACTCCTGGGGTTTTCCTTATCTTGGAAGGTGTAAGCTTTGTGCCATGAAATCAGAGATCAAGAGCCAGCCAGAAGCTGGGCATGGTGGTGTGGGCCTGTCATCCCAGCAGCTTGGGAGGCTGAGGCAGGAGGATCATGAGTTCCAAGCCAGCCTCAGCAACTTAGTGAGGCCCTAGGCAACTTAGCAAGATCCTACCTCGAAATACAAATTAAAAAGGTCTGGGGATGTGGCTTAGTGGTTAAATGCCTCTGGGTTCAACTCCTGGTACCAAAAAAAAAAAAGCTAAGTCAGAGCACATTTTGGAGAGTAGCTAGGTTAGAGGTCAGGTTCCCAAACTGGAGCTTCCTTCCAACCCTGAAGCCTGAAGCCAGGTGGGGATGAATCGGAATCTGGAGGAGCCCTTGTGTCACTCAGCAACTGCAATGCCCTTGTGTCTGCTGCATCTGCAGATGCAGGAGAGGCCACACCCTGAGCTTCAGAGCTCAGTTCCCAGACGCAGCTGGAGATATGGATAGTGGGGAGAACACACATGCAGGTGTGCTTACACACACACACACACACACACACACACACACACACACACACAGTGCCCAATCACCAAGCTCAGTCTAGCTTAACCAATGCTTTGTAGTCTGCCCACTCTTCCCTTGGGGAAGTACACCAAGATACAATTAGCCCTCTCTACCACTTGCCCGGGCTCTTCATGGAACAGACTCAAGCCCCAGTCCCATGTCTTCCTATGAACCTGAGAATGGAGACTTCTCTATTTTTTCCCACCAGGAATCTTCAGACAGAGGGCGGAACATGGGCTCCCTTTCCTCCCACCTGCTGCTGCTGTTACCCCTGGTTTCCCATCTAACTGATATTACATAAAGGCTCGAAGCAGACAGGCATGCGTGGGAGGGTGCTCCCCCTCTTTCCTCTTTTCTTGGTCACTTTGTTGTCTGGGTCACAGGGAGGAGGGCAGCACTGATGTCAGAGGAGAGGAGGCTGAGAGAGACAAGGAGAGGTAGGAGCCAGCCCCGTGGCAGGGGTGATTCAGTAGCAGAGGTCAGACTCTAGGAGGCCTGGCTCTTGAGACACCTGAAGAACAGCACCCACGCTCCTGGACAGGTGCAGGTCTAGGTGTGTTTCATCCTCCCCTGGATTGCTAAGGATCTGGCTGGGCTGGGTAGGTAGTGTTCAAGCAGGGAGAACCTTACAGCAACACCGACAGACCTGCAATTCCTTGAGTACCTCTCAAGAGCAGAGCACTTGCTGACATTATCCAGTTGGCTCTTTACACTCTATAATGCAGATGGAATATCCCATCTTATAGGGAGGAACTGAGGCCCAGACACTAGGCGAAATGAATTGCCCTAAATCATACATCTGGGTTTCAAATCCAGCTTTTGCCTGGCTCTAGAGCCCATACCGTTTTTACTTCTTTGCATCATCACTTCTGACTCCTCCTGCACACACACACACACACACACACACACACACACACACACACTCACACACACCCAACTCCCAGCTCCAAGTGCCCTGTACTATACCTTCATGGATGGCGATGATGTGGGGGTGGTTGAGGGATGACATGATCTCAATCTCCCGGCGTATGTGCATCAGATCTTGCTCATCTTTAATTTTGTCTTTCCGGATTGACTTGATGGCCACCTGGGAACAGTGAAGGCAGGAGATTGAAGAGAAAGGTCAGGCAGGTAGAGGCATCCCTGAGGATGCTCTAGTGGCCCTGGGGGTCTGCCTGCAGCTGTTACACAGGCCTCAGGGTATATCCAGGGAAGCCACACCACCTTGGAGCAGGGTAGGTGGCAGAGAGACTGGACAGTACCTTCTCTAGAAAAGGTCCTTATCTGGGTGTGGTGTAAGCAGATTCGGGTCCATGCAGCAGGAAGGGGCATAGATCAATGGTCTCCTTATTCAGACTACAGGTGAACAAGGAAGGTCAAAATCTGCATCTCTAAATCTGGTGCTTTATGATTTACAGAGCAAATTCACTACACTGAACCCAGATAGAAACTCTTGCTCACCATTGGATCACTGATGCCAAGAACTGTGCCTGGCATACAGGAAGCACCAAATAATTTTTCATCGTATTAGAAAATGAATTGGCCCTACAACTACCCTGGGAAATAGGTCTAGAAAGCATTGTCCTTCCCACTCACAGGGGAGGAAACTGGAACACAGAGAAGCTAAATGACTTGCTCAAAGTCAAACAGTCACTACCTAGCACAAACTAGGGTAAGACTATTGGCCATCTGACTCCAAGTTAATCCCTGTCTGCCCCAGCACTTTAACTTGCTATAAACAGCCAATCCACAGCAAAAGGTAGAAACAACCCAAATGTCCATCAGTAGATGAATGGATAAGCAAGATGTGGTATATATAATGAATACTATTCAGCCATAAAAAGGAATGCAATGAAAACACAAGCTGAACCTTGAGAATATTACACTAAGTAAAATAAGTCAGTCATAGAGGAGTAGTGTATGATTCTACTTCTGCGAGGTGTTTGGAGTAGGCAAACATATAAAGACAAAGTAGAGCAGAGGTTGCCAGGGACATGGGGGTGGAGGGTGGAATGGGGAATTATTATTTAATAGGTACAGAGCTTCCGTTTGGGATGATGAAAAAGTTTTAGAGATGGATAGTGATGATGATTTATAATATTGTGAATGTTCTTAATATGCCATTGAATCGTACATTTTAAATGGAAAGTGCACGCCTGTAATCCAAGCCGTTCAGGAGGCTGTGGTAGAGGATCGCCAAGTTGGAGGTCAGCCTCAGAAACTTGGGGAGACTCTAAGAAAATTAGCCAGACCCTGTCTCAAAGTAAAAAATAAAAAAGGGCTGGGGATGTGGCTCAGTGTTTAAGTGTCCCTGGGTTCAGTCCCCAGTATCAAAAAAAATAAAATAAATAAAATGGTAAAAAATGGCAAATTTTATATATTTACCACATTAAAACAAAAACAAAAACAAAAAACTATGAAAAAAGCCTCCAAACACCAGTCTCTTTAGGTAAAGAATGTCCCCTCCCTAGCAACAAGTAAACAAACAACCAGACAAAGTCCTCCAAGACTTCTATCTTGTCCATAAAGGTGAAAATACCATATAGGTATTTTCCCCTGTGGCTGGTGTGTGGTGGTTCAGGAAGGGTGGAGGGAGGTGAGAGGAAATGAGAAAGTTGCCAAGATGCATCTGAGTAGAGCCGGGGAGTCAGTGTCTCCCTCTGCACCATCCCAGTCAGCACAGGTTCCTGGACAATGCGCTCCCCCCCCTCCCCGCCATTGTGACTGACTGCAAAGTTGGCTGAGAGCACATGGTGTGTGTGAGACATGCTCCCTAGAGACCCAGGGGACCCAGGGTTCTCCAGGTTCGGTTCCTGTCCCTGTGGGAAGGTCCCACTCCCTTTCCAAGCCTTGGTTTTCTTTTCTGAGATAAACAGGTTGAACTTAGCTGTGTGTGTGTGTGTGGGGGGGGCTTTCCCTCTCTGGTTCTATGGAGTGAGCTGTCCAGAAGCCACAGGTCCTCTGAGGCTCCATCTGGGGCTGGGTGGGGGTGGGGTGGGGTGGGGTGGGGTGTTCCAGGGCCGTCAGTTCCTGGCAAGTCCAGTCCAGGGACACAGTGGTAAATACAGAGACTTCCTCTTCATGGCAGGTTAGGAGAGATCTGAAGGCGCAGACTGAGGTAAACAGCTCCTCATTCAATTTCCCAGGAGGGTTTGCCCCCCCCCCCTCAAGATTCAAAAGGAGACAGAGAAAAGGAAACTCTGGCTGGAGGGGAGGGGCCTCTAATCCACCCTTTCACAGGCTCTGATGGCAGACAATGGCTTCTGCTCACAGGGACAGTGGGTCCTGTTGGCCTGTGTCCCCCCCATTGGACAAGAATGCGGAACGGCCCTAATCCAGTAAGAGGAGTTGCTCACAAAGCCCATGGCCCGGTCACCCCAGCAACGGGCCAGGGATGGCGTGCCCCCCGCCCCGCTCCTCCCCTGAAGCTGCATGGGTGAAAGAGGGGAGGCCCAGCTCAAGGGCCCTCCCTGCCCTGTGCAGGGAGGACAATGGCAGGCGGGATGGATGGTCACCATGGAGCCTCCTCCCCAAGATGCTAGAGAGGCCCAGGCTGCAGCTGCAGGGGTAGGGCTGCCCCCCCTTAGTTCCAACCCCCCACCTCTTCCCAGGGAACCAACAGAAAAATCCCTGGGCTTGGAAATCAGGGAGGGGGTTGGGGATAGGAGGCACTTCTCCTGAATTTGACCCATTATTTCCACACACTTCTCTTTCCACACCCCTTTTCTTTCCCTTCAGGAAAGATTTTATGGGCTAGTTCGTTTCTAAGTCTTTGTGTCTAAAATCAGTTAATGGGTGAAGTGCAGTGAACTCTTCAGAAACAGAAGCCCACGGAAATATATAAATAGATTGTAAAAACAATCACATAGAGACACAAATCACTAGCTAGATGAAAATATTTGAGAGCTCAAGACGTACACATATGCAAAGACTATGCCCATTTCCGATGTTTGACTGTTAATACACATAAATGTATGATAAACCATCCTAGGCTTAGGGGCAGAGTTCTAAAGATAACAAGCGAGATTCTAAAAAAAAAAAAAAAAAGGAATTTTGTACCAGAAGGAGTTTCTGTGTAACTACTACACAGTAGAACTCTGAGATCCTTCTCTTTCAGCTTTGGAAGCCTGGAATTCTAAATCACTTTTTTTTTTTTTTTTTTGGTACTAGGAATTGAACCCAGGGGCACTTACCACTGAGCCACATCCCCAGCCCTTTTTATTATTTTATTTTGAGACAGGGTCTTTCTGACTTGCTTAGGGCCTCGCTAAATTGCTGAGGCTGCTTTGAACTAGTGATCCTCCTGCCTCAGCCTCCCGAGTTGCTGGAATTACAGGCACGCCCTGGCCAGAATTATTATTATTTTTCCTGGTGCTGGGACTTGGAGCCATGCTAGGTGAGTGCCTATCACTGCGCCATACTTCCAGCCCTTTAAATTAAATTTATTAATCTTCAATGAACAGTTCCATCCTCCTCCAAGCTCAGGTTCTGGCTTCAGAGAGTAGGTTGAGGACCCTCCAGTTATCCCCATTAGGTCCCAGAAGATCACAGAAGATCAGACGAAGGAAACAAGTATGTCATCAGGCCTCTGTTAGTCCCCATGTAAGTAACACAGAGAAGAAGAGCTATATGTCACTGCCCTGGGCCAGTTCCCCAAGGAGAGGCCTCCAGCTATCTACTGGTCAGCCTGTCAAAATAAATTAGACACAGTACCAGCTCAAACCTAGACAGAGTTCAGTATACAGAGAGCATTCAACAATTATTTACTAGTGAACCCAAATCATAATAATAAATATTTATTGGTTAAGTCACCAGATTGAGCTTTGACCGATAGGACCAGTGCCCAGATAAGATTTTCTCCTCTTCTTCTCAGGCCTGGTTGGAGTCAATCTCAGTTATGAGAACTAATTTTTAGGGACCTTTGTTCTCACCTGCAAGATAGTTGGTCGACTATGTTCTAGAATAAAAACAAGCTGACGGAAGCCAAGGAAAGGTTGTTAACTGGATCACCCAGAGATCAGAAGGCTACATGCCTCAAGACATTCCTGGTTTACCCTGGTATAACTCTTAATATTGCCCCCTTTACTCTCCAAAGCATCCAAGTTTAGATAATATAGTACATGGCCACCATACTTCGAGGGGGAAGGAAAACCAGCCCCAATGATGACAACGTAAATGTAAATATCTGACCAGTGGACTTTAAAAGCCCAGTGTCTAATTCTTATTTGTCCCATTGAGCTATGCAACTCAAGGCAAGTCACTTGGATTATCTGGTTAACTGGTCTGGCTAGTTTTAATGTCATGTCATACAAAAAAAAATGAAAGGATTAGGTTTTTTTCTTTTTAAATTATGGTACTGGGGATTGAACTCAGGGGCACTCAACCACTGAGCCACATCCCCAGCCTTATTTTGTAACTCTCACTGAGTTGCTAAGCACCTTGCCATTGCTGAGGCCGGCTTTGAACTCACGATCTTTCTGTTTCAGACTCCAGAGCCACTGGGATTACAGGCGTGTGCCACTGTGCCCAGATAAAGGATTAATTTTCTAAATAGCTGCTGGATGCCTACTATGTGCTTGGTATATTGTGCTAGGTGTTGGGGAGTCAGACAATAATTAGACATCCTCACCCCGCTACCCCTGTGTCAAGGTCTCTTCTCTAGTGGAAGGACTGGCAATTAAATTAACTTCAATCTAGTGTAATGAATGTGGCAGCTGAGGTCCCGGCCTGCCGGGGACTCCAGGAACACTGCAGAGAGCTTCCTTTTCCCTGGAGGATCAGGGAAAACCACCCCTGGGAGAAAACTGTTTTAGATCGTGAGGAACAGGTGAGGTTTGCTAGGCCATGGGAGGGAGACTAGAGAGGACAGCAAGGGCCTTCCAGGTAGAAAGAAGGGAGCTAGTCATAAGTGTGCACATCTGAATGAATCTTGAAGCTCCCTTCCACATTCTAGCACTTGAGCAGAACTTTGGAAAGGGGTCATCGGTTACTAGGCCAGGAAGAAGCCGACCAAGGACTGCTGCAGGCCTCCCTGCCGTGGCACATTAACCTGCCTGAGCATTGTTCCTGCTGATGTCATCCCAGAGCTTTTCTTGCCCCCGCAGCTTCGCACGTTAGAAAGGTGGCAGGGCAAATTTTTTTTTTCTTTTTTTTAAAGAGAGAGTGAGAGAGGAGAGACAGTGAGAGAGAGAATTTTTAATATTTATTTTTTAGTTCTTGGCGGACACAACATCTTTGTTGGTATGTGGTGCTGAGGATCGAACCCGGGCCGCACGCATGCCAGGTGAGCGCGCTACTGCTTGAGCCACATCCCCAGCCCGGCAGGGCAAATTTTTTATCCAGTTTTGCAAAAAGAGAACAGTGAAGTCCAGAAGGCTGCATTGCCTTTTCCAAAGTTCCTTAGTGCATCAAGACAAAATCAGGATCCAAGATGGAGGGTTGCCTGGCTAACACTTCAGTAGATACAAGTTGCTTGGAGATGGCCAGCTCTGCCTCCCATTCTAGGAAGGGAATGCCCCACATCTTGCTGTGGGCCAGGCTGGATAGCGAGTGCCCCTATTCCACTTACAGATATTCAAACATGCCTGCTCCTTTGCCGGTACCCTGGGGACATGATGCTGGGCTCAATTGGTAAACATTGCCTCGTTCCCAGGAACTCAGATCAGGAATAATATGGACTCAGGATAAGATTGTAGAAAGTTCTTAGGAAAAAAAAGAAGAAGAAAGATAAGGAGGAGGAGGAAGAAGAGGAGGAAGAGAAGATTTAGAGATGCTGTTCCAGGTGCTGGAGAGAGGGTACAAGCTGGGCATTTCTGGTCACAGTTATCGCCTGGAACTGGAACCAAGATCCCTGAATCCTTGTTGGCCTTTCACAGAGTAGCAGCTGTCTGAGAGGTGGGCAAGGAACTGAAGGATGATAGCAGAGGAGAAGTTGGGCTAGGCCAGTCTAGGCTCAGAAGAGGGGATGGACCTGGGGGTAGTTCACTATCCTACCCAAGTACCAGGCAGAACCTTGCCTAAGAATCAGGCAGGGAGCAGGAATGGGATCTGAGGGGAGTCTGCACCACCTCCCCTAAGCCCCATACTACACTACTCCCCTTCCACCTTCTCGCCCACTCTGCCAGGTTCCTGGGCGAGGAGCTTCCCTGCCCAGCCCTCCTGTGTGGTTTGGCTGGCGCCCAAGAACAAGAGTTGCCTGCAGCTTCCCTCCGTGCTGCTCCGTGCTGCTGAGCAGGCAGGTGCAGGAGGAGCTAGGAGGGCAGTGTCGTGCTGAACAAACCTTTGGCAGCTGGCCAGGCAGAGTCCTTTTCTGAAGCTGGTGCTGAAGGAGACACTCCGGCTTTGAACAAAGCAGACAACACAGTGGTGTGTCTCAAGGAGGGCTGAGCACAATCCACAAACTTTCTTGGGGCAGGACTGTCCCAGGATAGAGGAGTCTCCAGGAAAGGGAAGGTAGGGACCAGCCTTGCTGGAACAATCACACTGTGTTGTGTTAGACTGTGCTAAGCACTTTACATATACAATCTCATTTAATCCTAGAATCCCATGAGGCTGGATTATAATTCCACTTCACAGATTAGGAAATTGAGGTAGAGAGGTCCCACAGCCGATAAGCAATGTAGCCACAATATGAACCCTTATAGCCTTGACTCTGAGCTAGGCAGCCTCCTGGATGAGGTTTAAAAATCAGGAATGTAGCATAGCTTCCCCACCCAAGATCCCTCAAAATAGTCAAGTAGGGGAAGGGGGTTGGTTCCCAGTGACTTTCTACCCTAATCACTCACTTCCTGGAGCACTGGAGAAGACATGAAAAGCTAGCTGCTGGGGTGACAAAGCACAGAGACAAGCCTGGGCTCATTTCAAGGCCAACTTCCAGACTAAGACTCAGCACTGGGTCATCTAGGGCCTGGGGTACACCATCCTAGAGCCTGTTGCAGGCCTTCAACTCACCAGCCAGAGGACAAGTCACTTTCCTCTCTGGGCCTTAGTTTTCCTATCTTTCAATGAAAGAATCAGATTATCTTAATTTTCAAACACTTTGAAGATTTGCTTGGCAATTTAATATATAATGGAGACAGAAACACCTCCATCCCACAGCGCTACCCATTTGGGTGCTCCTCACAGTAACTTTGGAGGGTATGACTTCTTATTGATAATCTCAAAGGCTTTGGTGGCCTCCACTATTCCAAAGACCCCAGCAAATGTTTTTCTCTTTAAGGGAAGGAATCGACAGGGGAGCTAAGAGACTCACAGGAGGAAATGTCATTTGGATACCAGGAATGTGTTCAAGATCCAGAGCAAATATTTGTTTTTCCTCTGATGCCCTCCTGGAGCAGCCATTAGTCCCACCCACCTGCCCCTCCCTCTAGACAATCCCATCTGGCCCCCCACTAATTCCATCTAGGCAGGTTGAAAATGGAAAGTGTGCTAGAAAGAAAAATTAGGGATGGGAGTCACCACCCAGCAAGCTTTCCTCGGAATCTAGGCCCCATCAACAATCTCAGTTCATCTGGGGGGGGAAAGTTTTAGGGCAGCTCCATGCCCTTCTCCTCCACTGCAGGATCCTGAGACATCAGGTCCTTCTCTCTTCAGGGAGGACAAAGTGCAAGGGATGAGTGTGGGGGGGGAGACAGCAATGCTCCAGAATGGAGAAATCACCAGCACAGCAGAAAGCTGCTCCCCAAGAAAGAGGGGGATCCTGAGCAAGTTCCCAGCATCTGTACTGGGTGGTCTATGGGTCAGGGAGGTTCAGAATAGGTCCCAGCTATGGATCTTGGCTCCCCATATAGAGAAAAAGGGAAGAGGCCGAAGAGTTTCTTCTGAATTCTCTGTGCTGATGAAATAAGAGCTGGAATCCCTGCCTAGAATCACTGAGGTTTGAAAACTGAAAACTCATTTATCTCACTCTGCAATCAAATGAGATTCCTCTCTGTGTGAGTCTGTCTCTGTCTGTCTGTCTCTTTCTCTGGCACACATACACCCACAGTGATTCCAGTCCAAAGCCTGATGGGATCTCAATCTCAATCTCAGTTTCTCAATTTCTGGACCTGCCCACTATCAGAGACCCAGTCTTCCCCCCAACAAGAGGCAGGGGGCACAAGCCACGAGCAACTGTTTTTCAGCTAAGCCCCTGACAAAGCCTGGGCCCAGCAGTCTCAAGCCTGGAGCCTCACCAGGCCCTCACTCTGTATAGAAAGAGAAAGAAAAGGAAAGCCAGAAAGTACATGATTGCCCAATAGCTGTAACCTGGCAGCGGGCAACCAGGGACTGTGCCAGGCGTTAACAGGAAAAACATACTTGGACCTATTGATGGGGCCATAATCCACCCCTTTCTTCAATATCTATTCTCCTTCACCAATGAAATGACTTCTTGAATTTCAAGCCAGTTACTGGCTGCAAAAGCAAACACAATCATAGTCAATAAGGCAAACCATGGCCACACATACACACACACAACTCACAAGCAGCACCCACTAAATTCAGCAAACCACAATTCCTAAACCATATTCTCTGAAAGGCTTATTAAAATACAAATTATAGAGCATCACGAGAAATTCCCCTGAATATGGAAGCAGAGAATAAGTATTTTAAAGAAGCACTTCAGCTGATTCTCATGCATGCTAAACTCAAGTTTGAGAGCCATTGTTAGCTAATTTTGGACACATTTGCCATCTTGACAGGGCTGGCCTTTCTGGATACAACTATCAGTTCTTACTGTATTTTTTCCTATGCATTAGGAAAAAAATTATCATTTGTTATCTTATTCAATCTTCCTACAAGTTTGTGAGGCAGCCTGTTTTCTCCATTTTTGCAGAAGGGGAAACTGAGAATATAGAAAAAGGAAATTGCTCAAGGTCACAAATTACTATGACTACCAAAACACAGCCCAAATCAACAGTATGAGTTCCTGAAAATGCCAAAAACACAAAACTATCTTCTTGGGACATTGTGAACTTGCACCAGAGTCTGGTGATATATTTCCCAACATCAAAAAACATCATAATTAAATTTTGACTCAATTGCAGAGCTTGAAAGGGCCTAAGTGTCAACCCCAACCTGTGCAGATCTCCAGACTATCAGAGTGGAGAATCTCCACACTTCAATGATCACCTCAACCACACACCTACTTCTCAAACCCCTGCTAAGATCAGTTGCCTTCTCTTCCCAATTCCACTCTGTTGAACAGTCTGTTTTCAAGCAAAATTTAACTTAAGTCCCATCTTCTCTAACGACATGCAGGCTAGTGTGGTTGAGGTTCTCAGGTCCACAAACTTAGTCCCTACAATCACGGACAGCCATCTACAAACCTCAGCGTAAGTAGACTGCATGCTTCCAACTCCACCGAGCAAGGCACTAGTCCCTGGATCCATCCTCCACTCCCCGCGGGCGGCCCAGCCCCATGCCCGCCCTCCCGCCTACCCACACGGCCAGCGCAGCGAGAGGCACTCACCAGGCGCCCTGAGCTCTCCCGCGCCTTCTTCACCTTCCCGTAGGTACCTTTACCTAGGGTCTCCAGGAACTCGTAGCGGTGCCGCAGGTTGTGCTTGTGGTGATGCCGCTTCACCGCCTGCTTCTTCATCAGGGGCTTGGGAGACTTGATGAGCCCGTCTGCCAGTGGCCGGGCGAGCTCCGCCGTCAGGGTGGCGGTGGCAGAGGCAGCCGGGCCCGGGCGCCGAGGGAAAGCCAACGACTCCATGGCGGGTTAGAGGTAAGCAAGAGCGGAGCGTCAATCGTCTGGCTGTGCGGGACAGCTAGGTTCTCTGGCACATGACCCGCACCCGGACAGCGAAGTCACTGCCGCAGCCGAGCGCGCTCCAAAGAGCCGCATTCCAAGTTATTATAATCGCCCGATGCCAGAGGCTCTGGTCACGCCCCCCAAAGCTCATTGGTCTGCTTGCCGACGGCGCGTGACCAGGGCCTCTCCCATTGGCTCGCCCGGGCCCCCGACACCGCCTTCTCCCCGCTGCGCAGCCAGGAAAGGTGTCAATGGAGCCCCGCCCACCTGGGCCCGGAGGGACAGGAATGGGAACTAGGGAAAGCCTGTGGAGGCTGCTTGGCCAGTTGGTACTACTGAAATCTGTAACTGGGCTTTGAAGGCCCTCGACATGGCCCTTGCCTCTGAGCAGCGCTTGGTTTTGGTTATAACCACCTGTTCTATTATGCTGTGTTCTCAGTTGGCGAGGCGGCTATCTGAGGGCGCTAGAGGTCACCAAAGTATTTCTTTATCCTGAGTAATTTGCTTCTCCCAAGGCAAAGTCGCTTGACCGCTTATGTCCAAAAGGAGAAAGGGGGATGGGATGGAAGGGTAGCAGACTCTAGCCAAGTGGGAGGACTGGTGGAGGGCTTGTCTTCAGTTAGGTCAGCCTTAATTAGATCCTGGAATCCAACGCTCCTGTAAAGTTCTTACCCCTTCATCAAAGAGAACGTGTAGTGTTGCGTGGATCCCTCAAGATATGGTGGAATTTATGGAGACCTGGCAGGAGGTGGAGAAAACCAAAAGGGAAACATTCATGAAAACTATATTACACTCCTATTTCTTATTTAACCTGTATTCTTAAGTCTATGAAGCTGCCTCATCCAATGTTTTCTTTTTCTTTCCTTCCTTCCTTCCTTCCTTCCTTCCTTCCTTCCTTCCTTCCTTCCTTTCTTTTTTCTTTTCCTTCCTTCCTTCCTCTTTCTTTCTTACTTTTTTTCTTCCTTCCTTTCTTAATTTCTTTCTTCTATTTTTTACCCCTTCCTTTCTTTCTTTTCGTTTTCCTTTTGGTACCAGGAATTGAACTTAGGGGCACTTAACCACTGAGCCACATCTCCAGCCCTTTTTATATTTTATTTTGAGAGAGAGTCATGACAAGTTGCTCAGGACATCACTAAGTTGCTAAAGCTCACTTTGAACTTTGATTGTCCTGCCTCAGCCTTCCCAACTATTAGGATTACAGGTGTGTGCCAACAAGACTAGGCTCATTTATTTTCTGTGATTTTAAAATTAGGAGGACTGTCAGGTGTGGTGGCACATGCCTGTAATCCCAATGGCTCTGGAGGCTGAGGCAGGAGGATCAAGAGTTCAAAAGTCAGCCTCAGCAACTTAGAGAGGCCCTAAGCAACTCAGTGAAACCCTGTCTCTAAATAAAATACAAAATAGGGATGGGGATATGGCTCAGTGGTTGAATGCCCCTGAGTTCAATTCCTGGTACCAAAAAATAAACAAACAAACAAACAAACAAACAAACAAATAAATAAGTAAAATAAATCAGGGGGCTGGGGTTGTGGCTCAGTGGTAGAGCTCTTGCCTAGCACGTGTGAGGCCCTGGGTTCAGTCCTCAGTGCCACATAAAAATAAATTAAAAAGAAGGTATTGTGTCCAATTACACTAAAAAAAAAATATTAAAAAAAAAATCAGGAGGCCTGAGCATGAGGCTTGGCTTCTTTTGTGTGTGTGCGGTGTGGTGCTGGGGATTGAACCCAGGGCCTTATGCATGCTAGGCAAGCACTTTACCAACTGATCTATATCCCCAGCCTCAGCCTTTTGAGGCCTGGAGGGCTAGCTAAGTCCAGCTTCTCATCCCCTTTTTTTTTTTCCTCCCCGGTGTTGAGCATTGAACCCAGTCCCTCATGCATGCCAGGCAGTCACTCTCCCACCAAGCTACAACCCAGCCTTCAGCATCTCCATTTATAGTGAAATGAGAACATCCACAGGCTTTCCTCCTCCTTCTCTAAGTGAGGGATAAGGGAGGCTTCTTGATAACCCAGTTCTGTAAAGTATTATTATGTCAAAGGCCACACAACTGGTGAGAAAGCAGCAGAACTGGGATTTGGACCCTGGACTGTGGGAGAAGAAAGGAGGCCAAGGGGTCCTTGGTCCCCTTCTCTGCAAACAGTCAGAAGCCTGACTGGATTCCAACTGGGCTGAGAAGACAGCATACCCCTCATTTCTTCAGGAGGGTGGTGTCCCAGCTGCATATTCAGGGCACCAAGGACCAAGAGGAGCTAAATCCCCAGTTGCTGAATTTTGTATTTACTGTCTGCCCACTTTCTTGCTTCCACTGACGTTTTGTAGTGCAAGTTATGATCGTCTCTGTTCCTTCCTGGAGTTCATTGTCTCTCTCTGTGGCAGGACAAAATCCACCTTATGCTGAAAAACAACCTCCTTCCCCTAAACCTGAAGAGTTGCAGGAGGTGGTAGCTGACTTGGCACCTTCTCTCTACAAGCATCTGGTTTGCTCTGGATTATCTGTGAAAATAGAATGAGTCTGAGAGAGTTTCTCTAGCCTGCTGTTTCCTTTCCCCAGTGAGGTCTGTGTGCATTCCTGGGGACCCATCTGGACAAATTAGGACTCTGAAGAGCCAGCACAGGTAACATAAGAGCCAGCACAGGGCTGAGTGCTGGGCGACCTGAGTTCTAGTTCTGACCAACATGAGCCAGTTCTATGACCTTCTACCATTCACTTCGCTCATTCTATGAACATTGGGCGCACTAGGTGCTGACCTGGGATATCATGGTGACAAGATAGATATAGCTTCTTCCTTCAGAGAATTTTCAGTCCAGTGAGAGATAAGCACATCCTTTACAGAGGGAGACATGTCCATAATGGAGGAAGAGCAGAATGACCTTGGGATGTATAACAGGAGTCCCTAGCCCAGATGGGAGGAGACTAGTCAGGAGGTACTTCCTGAAAACAGAGCTTTTAGAGCAGAGGCATTAAGGACATATAGTAATTGGCCAACTGCATCAACATTTCCTCATTAAAAATTTTTTTTGTTATTTTCTTCCTCATAAGAAAAATAAAGAATCAAGCAAATAACCCAAGATTCTCTTTCAGACTTAATGTAGACTGATGAATGTTTTCAGGTATCCCAACATCTCATGCATGGCTGGGCATACAAAAGATACTCAATCATAGACGCTTATGGACCAAAGGAATGGATGAGCAATGGAATCAAAAGACTAATGTGAGAATACCTACAAATAGCGTGTATCTCCTGTACCAGCTAAACTGGTGATAGCAGAGGTGACAAATCATTCGCTACCTCTCCAACCCTCCCCATCCCTACTTTAGTTTCCTTTGCTACAATCTGAATCCCCATTTAGGTGGCAAACCAGGGATGACCAAAGACCCCAGAGAAAAGAGATCTCCCTGGCTCAAGCCAAGGTGCAGCTTGGTGGCCCACAGGAGCCAACAGACTAGGCTTTAGATGAGTCTTGGCTGCAGACTGTTCACAGCAGGTAGCAAGGGAAGCAAACAAACAGATGCAGTTCCGGAACAGTGTGCAGCTCGGAAATGATCCTAGCTGCTGGAATTCGGCTCTCACATTCCTTATGGGGAGACCTGTTTGATGGCAGAGTAAGAATGCCAGATAGGGATGGCTACTGGCAAGGCTTTCCGGGAATCCCTGCGTCATGTGCTAGGATGTCTGGGCTGAGCTGAGCCCCTCTCAATCCTGTCTGCCTCATTGGGCCTACTATGCACACACTGGGAAGATAATCAAGAACAAGCCTCTGTCTTGTCCTTACACACTTCACAACTTGTATGTGGGTGCTGTATGTGTGTGTGTTGGGGGTGTGTGTGTCCAGGGTTGTAAAAGGGGATCTAAAAGCAGCTCAGAGTGAAAACTGCTATCATGTGTCCTGCTGGGTGCAGGGTATAGGCAGGAGCACAGATGAGGAGCGCAAGGACACGCCAGGGTGAGGCAGGTCTCAGACACATCTAAGATGAATCCTGAGGTATGATTAAGAATGCACTTCCTGCTTCCAGGAAGTTTAAAGCTTAATAAGAGAAATAATAAGATAAATATATAGTTTAACTGTATAATCCCAGGCAGAAAGTGGGAGGACCTTAAAATAGATACAAATGACCACATGGGTTTGAAACACCTACTACCCTGGCTCAGAAGTAGGAGGCCCAGTGGACCTTGAAGGGTCTGTGGGATTTGAATTATCCTTCAGGGATGAAATGGGGAGGTGGGGTTGTGGGAAGAAGGGAAGGGCTGACAAAGAGCACGCTCTGTATGCAGTGGCTGTAGGGGGTCACCAGGACCCTGGAGTATCCTCTTCCTTGGAATTATATTAGTAAGATGTCCTCACTTCTCTCCCCTTTTCTCTGGGAAAAGAGCAGGCCAGAGGATTCAGTTCATCACCCATGTCCAGCCTAAGACCTCACTGTCATTGTCAAATCGCCTTTCCCCAGAGCTGGAGGATGTTACAGCCCTCAGTCACCCCACCTCTGTGATGGGCAATATGTCCTGCAAGATGTTGAACTTCCCCTGGAAGTTAGACCGGCCTGGATAAGAACCAACCTATTAAAACTGGCCTTCCAAGACAGGGAGGTATAAATTCAAAGAGGTCCGTAATTCCAGATAGCTTTTAGTAAATTGAGATGCCTGGTTCAAAGCTGCCCTCTTCTGACAGAACTAAGCCTAGCAAGTTTCATGGGATGCCCAAATCTGTCACTATGCAGGTAGTCTGCTTAGGCAATCTGATGAACTATTCACTTGTTCATTCATTCAAATATGCACAAAGCAACCGAAATAATAGTCTAATAATATCTAATTATATCTTATATCTGTTTCTAAGCATCTTAGATATAGTGTCCCGTCTACCAAGCTAGGTAGTATCAGAGCCAGGAGGTAAATCACATCAGTCCAATATCCTATCTTGTGTGCCTAACTATGTATTGCCTTATGGACTCTGGAAATCCAAGATGGAGCTAGTTAGGGCTGGGAGAGGATGTAATGAAAGAAGTCAAGCAGAGAGCTATCCCTCTTTCTGGCCTGGAGAGGTGGGGATGGCACACAGAGAGGGCCAGCAGCGCTGGGATCAAGCTCAATTTCTACCCCCATCCCACAAAGAGGCCATGGTCAAGGATTTTCTCTTGCATGTGGTTGCTTATCGATAAAAAGGGATTTGGGTAAATGAACTCTGGTTTCCATTTCAATCTGCCTTATCTACACAGGGACAAATTAGAAATCTCAGTTACTCTTCTTTTGCCCATTTAGGACTTGGACATGCAGGAATCTCACCCTTCTCCTACCCATGGGTTGACATGACATTTTGGCTCAGGAGTCTGGCAACCTGGACTGCAAATTCTGCTCTGCCTCTGATTGACTATGACTCCATCTCGTCTCTCTGCAGCTCTATGAAAAAGAATGATGCACTTTCATATAACAGTGTGCCAGTCACTTTCCTTAGATGACTGATATTACTGAATTCAATCCTCACCATGACTTTGTACAAAGTAGTTTATAGCATATGATTATCCCCATTGCACAGATGAGGAAATTGAGACACAGAGAAATCAACTACCTGCCCTTGTGGGGTCACAAAGCTGACAAGTGATTCCAGAAATGGAGCTCTTCACCATCATGCTTTGGCTTGGAGAGGATTCCTGGTTTTCACAGAGTCTTCAGTAGACTCAACTGCTCTGTGTCTTGGTTTACTCATCTGAAGTGTCTTATGAATCCCTCGTAGAGTTTGCTGTGAGATAGAATGAGATGTCAAGTTGCCAGACAGATGGTTTCCTAGCAGTCTGCATGGGGCTTTGTTGGGCTCAGTTTCTCTCAAGTTCCCTCCCTGGATTCTGCCAGAGAACCCGTGTGTGTGTGTGTGTGTGTGTGTGTGTGTGTGTGTGTGTTCTCAACAGTAATGGGTTTCTCAGATACCTGAGCTTCATCTGATCTGACCCAGGAATGAGAACAGTGAAGACAAAATTCTGAGCTAGCAAATAGTCATTGAAACTGTCAAACTCAGCTGGGTGCAGTGCCGCACACCTGTAATTCTAGAAGCTCAGGAGGCTGAGGCAGAAGGATTGTAAGTTCAAAGTCAGCTTTAGCAATTTAGCAAGGCCCTAAGCAACTTATTGAGACCCCGTCTCAAATAAAATATAAAAAGAGCTTGGGATGTGGCTCAGTAGTTAATTGCCCCTGCTTCCATTCCTGGTATCAAAAAAAAAAAAAAAAAAGTTCTTCCTTGGTCCCTTATCCCGTGTTCTTTTTCTGATCTCTGAGGTTTATAACTCCCACCGCTATGTCATTGGGAAATGTGTGGGTGGGAGTCTATGCTTATGACTGGGCCTTGACCCACGAGTCTCCTTGTACTTTCCACCAATTATCATTGTGGTGTCATTACCACAAATATATTAAAATAACCCCCATCTCTTTAGTTGTCAACATTCTCATTTCCATAGTTTTGTTGATCCTTCGCTGACCCTGTGACGTCATGGCTTGCATTAGGTTGTAGTTCAAGGGTTGTTGATGGAGGTGTGGCAAGAGTACCATGACCCCAAGTACAGAACCAGGCTTGGGGTTCTGCTACACTAGCTCTGCCACTTGCTGACCATGTGACCTGGGGCAGGTGACTTAGTGTCCCTAGGCCTCAGTTCCTGATTAATCAAAGGGACACCTGAACTTAGAGGAGCTTTGCAGACAGAGGGATTCGTGGCCGAGGCTGGTGTGGCTTACAGTCTGGTGGCTTCTCACTCTATGTAGATGCTGCTCCTCATGAAGAGTCGGTGTCTTCTTCCTGCTGGCCTTGCCTCCTTTCAGGGAGGCCCAGGAGTGACTGGGCAGGGCAGGACAGGACAGGGGAATTGTGCCCAGAAGGGAGGAGGGAGGAAGGCCTGCCCAGTGCCACCTCCTTGCCCCGTGCCTGGCTCTCGCTGGCAACCCGAGCCCTTGGCCTCCCAGGCTGATCCTGGAATGTAAACCCCAAGCAAAGCACATTCTTCAGCAGGGTCACCAGCTCCTGGCCCTTGGTAAGGGAAGGAGGGAGCCAGCATTTCTCTTGGCCCTGAATGACACCTGCGTGGTCTGCTGCTGTGGGCTGTGATTACAAGGCTGGCTTGCTCGGTTGTCATCCACAGATCATAAAAAGTCCAATTCTGACCTGTCACTCCTATTGGAGCCCATGGGAAAGGGAAGAGGCAATCCCATCCCTAAATGGGGGCATTTGAAATACTGCTTGTTTCCTGGATTCTGTTCCTTGCGTTAGCCACATGCTGGAGAGGAGCTTAGAGGCAAAGGGGGCATTGTAAAGACTCCTGTCACAGCCGGCACTGTCTCTGGGCTCTTTGATTTCTGACTTTCATTCAACTCAGGGTCCTGCTATGCACTGAGTGCTGCCCACCAGGCACTCTGTGTTGCTCTGGGCCTTGAGGCTTAGTGATAGCATCGCACTCCTGAGGAGCACCTCAAAGGCTGTGTGTGTCTGGGGGGAGGTGGGCTGAGGAGACAGTGGGTCCTATTCACCAGGTGCACAATGGAGGGGGCATTCAGGGCCGAGGGGACAGGGCACACAGGGAGGGCGTTGAGGAGGGGCCAGATGCACTCAGGGAACACAGCAGAGTATGAAGGGGAGGCTGGGAAGGTAAAGAGCCTTAGAGGCCACGCTGAGGCATGGAATCGCCCACAGGGCCAAGGGAAGCCGAGGAAGGATGTCTAAGCTTCATAAGGATTAGTCAGATCTACAGATGAGAAGGGTTTCTGAAAGGGCAGAGGGAATCCAGGGGGACCCAGTAAGGAGGTTGTTGAAGGTCACCTTGTGTGAGGCCACGAGGGTCAGGATGAAGCTCTTGGCTATGTGAGGGAGAGAAGAGGTGAGGCCACTTTCAAGCCAGAAAGCAGAAGTCTGAGTAAGACCAAGCAGCGCCCATTTAGCTCCATTCTACAAAGGAGAACACTGTCTCCAGAGCAGAGGATCCTGGGAAAGGAACTTGCGCCTCACTGTTCACTTATAAATTTTGCTTCTGAGACTTAGACATTGCTGAGATTAGGACCGGGTCCATTTTCTGATGAGTGGCAGGCAGGGTACCCCAAAGTCCTTGTTTCAGCCAGTTGGGAGGGCAGGATGAGCCACCAGCTGCCAGGCTGAAGTGCCTTCACTCCCTCAGCTCTCCATAGTGCAGGCAGATTGTGGGAAGGACTTATTTCTCTTTGAACTTCCCAGAAAATCTATCAACTCTGACGTGGTGCCCAGGGCCCCAAGTATTTAGGCACTTCTTTGGCCTCCAGCCCTTTGCCTCACAGAGCCTCTGAGACTGTGGATGTGTGAGCGTGAGAACAAAAATGTGTGCACAAATCGGTGCGTATAACAGGGTGCGAATGTGTAGGTGCATTTGTAAAAATGAGGCATGTGTGCAGTATGTGAGAGTGTGAGTGTGAGACATGAGTGTGAGGTGTGTGAATGGTTACATGCACGGAGGTATGAGTGTGCATGTGGGTGTGTAAGAGTGAGGGATAGGTGGGTGTATGAGTGTGATAGAGAGGGAGAGTACAGGGTGTGAGCGTGTGGGTGCCAGGGCAGCTGGTGGAGTTGTCCCTGCCCCTTGGGCTGCAGATGGGGGGTTCTTGGCACTCTGCTCAGGGATGTAGGAACAAGGGATCTGAGGCTTCTTTGAACCAGGTACACAACTGCCTGCAGAGCTCAGATGAGTCAGAGTGCTTGGAAAAGTGGCTCACAGTTTAAACCATTAAAACAAAGGGAGTCATAGCCCATGTGGAGTTCATATGGGACACTAAAGACATTTTGTCCTTACAGCTAGCTGGCTGTTCCTATCTTCCCAGGAACCTTTTCTCCCTGTCACTAGTTTCACTGTGGATGGGGAGATTTTGGGGCTGAGCAGCATTGCCAAAACAACCTAATGGCATCTAGATCCGTCTGTCCTTATGAGGCTTCCGCTGTCATTCAAGACCAACCCAGAGTCCAGCAAGCCTTCTGATCTCTCTCCTCCCCTTACTGGGTTTAGGCTCCCTGTCTCCCTTCCCCTGAGGCCCAGTTGTAACCCCGAGCCTCTCCTGGGAGCTCAGTCCTTCTGGACTCTTTTCTCTTCCCAAGGGTGGGTTTGGGTTGATTGCATCCTTCCAAAATGACATGTGAGGTCCTGACCTCTGGTTCCTATGACTGTGACTTCATTTGGAAACAGGATCCCTGCGGACACAACTGGCCTAAAATGAGATCATACTGGATTAATGTCCTGGCCAGCCTTGATGGTACATGCCTGCAACCCCAGTGACTTGGGAGGCGGAGGCAGGAAGATCACAAGTTCAAAGCCAGTCTTAGGCTCTAAGCAACTTGATGAGACCCTTTCTCAAAATAAAAAAAATAAAAAGGGCTGGGGAAGTGGCTCAGTGGTCAAGCGCCCCTGGGTTCAATCCCTGGTACCCAAAACAAAACATAAACTAGTGTCCTTATAAGATGAAGAAAACCTGAACACAGACACACGGGGACAAGCCCAGAAACACCAAGAATTGCCAGCCTCTGCCAGGAGCTAGGGAGAGGCAAGGAGAGATGTGTCTCTCTCTAGCTCCACCCCACCTTTCCCAAAGAGCCTTTAGAGGGAACTTGGTCCTTCTGACACCTTGACTTCAGACTTCTAGATTCTAGAAGTGTGACACAATAAGTTTCTGGGGTTTTTTGTTTTGTTTTTTAAGCAGAAAACTTATTTCTGTGCTATTGTGGTATTTTGTTAGGGAAGCCCCAGGAAATCTCTGGTACATTTATCTGCCCAAAGTGCCAGAGTCCTTCTAGTCACTCACCCCTTTGATTCTTGCCTGAGACTTGCCTTGTGCCATCAATCACTTCTGCCCATGCTAATGTTTGGGCTCACTGAGGTCACAGCTCAAGTTCTCTGAGCCTTTGGCTCAGGCCTTGGCCTGTTCTGCAGTCACATGTGTGGATGCATACACTGACCTCCTTTGCCGTTCTCCATACAGCAGAGCTCAGAGAAAGCAGTGTTCTGGTGCTGGAGGCGGTGGTTGGGGGGTTTCTCATTGACCTGGGTTTGATTTCCATTCCTAGTACTTATTAGCTGTGTCATCTAGCTTAAGTGTTCAGTGTTCCTAGTTCTCTTTCTTCTTCTGAAAAGTAGGGGTTAGGAAAGACCAGCCATATTCCACTTCCTGTGCAGGAGCTCTGGGGGCCAATGCAAATGCAAAAGATTGTTAGAAAGAAAACCTTGGAGGAAATAAAGGGCTGGAGGGCATGGGCTAGTCTACTCCCTCACGGGAGTCTCTGATTGCTCAGTGGTTGGACCTTGCTCAGGAGAAGGCCTGGAGAGATGGCCTGCATATTGTACCAGGACTACAACCAAATGGGGCTCCTTCTGACCCTAGATGGTGTCTTAGTGATGTCACCTACTTCATTTTTCTCAGAAGAGGAGTTCGGAATACCCCATGCTACATGGTACAAATCTGATGGTGCTGCCTCTCACTTAAAACCTTAATTTGCTCTTAACTTTCCTTATGTATAAAGTCCAGTGGCCTCAGCAAGGCACAAAGTAAGGCCTTTCTTGATTTTCTTACCTGTGCTTGCACCCCCATCTCCCCACAGCCTCTCTATGTTGTCCTCTGTGTGCTGTCACCAAGATAAGGCAAGCTCTTTCCCTTGTTGGTCTTGATTTCTTTTACCTATTTTTATTTTTGAGATGTTGCCCAGGTGGGCATTAAATGCCTGGGCTCAAGTGATCCTTCTGCCTCAGCCTCCGAAGTAGCTGGGAATATTAGTGCATGACACCCCATGGGGACTTGGTGGCCCTGAGAAAACCTCTACCTGTCCTTCAACAACAAAATAACAATTCAACACTCACCTAACAGAGCACATCATTATATATGTGTGTGTGTGTGTGTGTGTGTGTTAGCTCTTAGCCTCCTAACAAGGTCTTATTTGGCTCACCTTACAAATAAGGAAAAAGACTCAGGTTAAACAAGGCGCCCGAGGCCAATTTGTGCATCATAATCATACCGTGAACCTTACTCTTGCTACAAAGCCTATGATCTGCCTCTTCTACCTGGCTGGCATCCCTCTTCTTTCAAAGGTTATTGTCCAGTAACTGGCCCTGGCTCTCTGCAGCTGCTCAGGATGCCTCTAGTTACACTAGCAAAGGTGGACACCAGCAAATAGTCTCTGTAGGCTTGGTTCCCTGTCTCCCTCCCAAGACTAGGTTTGAGATCTCAAACCTAGCACCATGCCAAACTGGAAACAGTTCAATGATGGTTTGGAACAGGCAATGGAACAAAAAAGGTAGACGGGAACTTTCCCAGGGATATAAATTTAGGAATATTCTACGGTCTTTTCACATCCACGGAGCTCTTTCCAACCTTTCCTTGCTAACCCTCACCCTCATTCCTTGTCAAACACTCTCCATCCTTCCAGGTCGACCAGAGCTCCTTACCAAGGTACAGCATGGTTGATCTTGTCTTCCCAAGGACTAGTGCTCATCTGAAGCAATCAGTGCTGTGGCCACAAGGTTTGGAATCAGACCTAGTTCAGTCACTTATTAGCTTGTGACCCTGGACAATTTAAATAATCTCTTTAATTCCTGGTTTTCTCATCTGTGAAATGAGAGGATTCTACCTGCCTCCGCGCTAATCTGAGGATCGAGACAGGTACCTTACCTCGTTGTGGGACAGCATCACCATTGCTCTTGTTTTATAGACTGGCAACTAAAGACAAGAAGGCTGAATGACCTTGCCATAGTGTGGAGGTGCTGGGAAAGCCTGCAGGGTTGGGCAAATGAGACCTGGACAAAGCCATCAGCCCCAGATCCCGTGCTGCCTCTGTGGTGCCCCCAGGTACAGACCCACCTGGCCGAACACTGATGTTCTGTATTTCCCTCACTCTTCAGAGAGGCATCCTCACAGTCTCCCCACAGTGGACTTCTGGGAGGCAAGTCCTTAGCAGGCAACATCTCTGACTTTCAGCTGCCCTTTCAAGTTTCAGTGGCTAATTCAATCTTTTCGAGCTGGCTGTAGCCCTGAGTTTCTAACTACTCTAAAACACTTCTGCCTCATCCACGGACATGGGGTCATTTTGTACACTAGGAAAGAGCCTCCCATATAAGGCTTGGCCTCCTCTTGAAAAGGGTGGAAGCACCCATTTGAGAACACCTTTCCTGGGTAGGGGACTGGGGAGGGTGTGAGGCGCAGGGCAGAAACTGAAAGGGAATGGAGAGGCTATATCAGGGCTGGCCTTTGGAGCAGCTTCTCCTTAGGTACTGTCCCTTCCTTTGTAGTATCTGCAGCTTCTCCAGGACCTTTTGCTAATGGTTAATTCAGGGGAAATATGGGAGCCAGAAGCAACCAGAGAAGGCCTCTCTGCAGTCTGCTCACTAGGGGGCACCCACAGCCACAGGATGCCGCCCATCCTGGGTGGGAAGGAAATGCTGGGCCAGCAGGTGGCAGTGCCCTTAAATCCTGGTAAGGATCCCTATCCCTCAAAGACCCCGGTTCACTAACCCTATCCAGCTGAAGTTGTCATCCTGACCCGAGGAGGCTGCCTCTGACCCCTCAGATCCAGATAGATGAAGCTCCTCTGTCCTTGCCTCCAAGAGATGATTATTTCATCAGGAGGAGTGTTACCTGACTCTTCCGCAGCCCTTAGGGATTCATATTCATTTTTGCATCCCCAGTGCCAGCTCAGGCCTTCCTCACCCCAACTTTCTCCCCGGATGGAACCTAGGACATCACACATGCTAGGTAAGCACCTTACCACTGAGCTACATCTCAAATCAGCACAGCTTTTTAAAAAAGAATTGGGAATCACAAAGAGGTGCTATGCAAGCTAAAAGGAGGCATGCTCTTCAAGTTAGTTTCTCTCTCTCTCTCTCTTTCTTTCTTTCTAAACCTGACAAACAGAACTTTTGCCCAACACATGCATGACGTTTCAGTACAAGAAGAGAAAAATCTGCTGTTTTTCTGGGAGTGGGGCAGCTGGTGGCGCTTGTGGGAAGGTGGAATTCTTCAGAGGGAAAAGTCAAGAATAGGTGGCCCCTTGGGACCCTATTCAGCCCGAGAACCCCAGCGGGTTGGTCTCATGGGATCTTCTCTACCCATCAGGATTCCCTTTCCCCAAACTCTGTAGCAGGGTACCAAAGAAGATAGGAATATAGATTTTAATCATTGTGCTGCTGTGATTAATCAGAGTGCAAGTAATCCATCTTTTGTGGATTTTGATGCCACAGTGTAAATGAGAAAGTTTCACACAGAAACACTCTGGGGGCATCAGGGAGAAAAGAGCCAGGTCTCTGATGGGGAGGGGGGCATAAGGAAAAATGCAGAGGGGAGATGAGGGCTCAGAGCAGACACAGGGCTCAGTGTTTTCTCCTTCCCCATCATCACATCTGCAGCAAGGATCCTGAGAGGAAGGATCCTTCCTGCAGGGGCCGCTGGCCTGGACTGGGAATGTGAGCCCCCAACCCTCCTTTCCCGAGCTTCGAGCCCAATTCTTGCTGATCTAATGAGGTCCAGGGAAGGTCAACTTGACGGACAAATAAGGAAAGGATGTAAACCAAAGGAGAAATAAGAGGTTGGAGGCTGGGCATGGTGGCCCATGTGTCACCCCAGCAGCCTGGGAGATGAAGGCAGGAGAGCTGAAAGTTCAAAACCAGCTTCAGCAACTTAGCGAGGCCCTAAGCAACTTAGGGAGACCCTGTCTCAAAATAAAACATAAAAAGGGACTGGGGATTTGTCTCAGTGGGTAAGTGCCCCTGAGTTCAATTCCTGGTTCCAAAAAAAAAAAAAAATGGTTTGAGACCCTCCCTATCCTTCTCCACCTTTTATCCCAAGAGATCCTCAAAACTAGCCCAGAGCTGGGGAAAGGACAACAGCTGGCATCCTGGGAAGTAGCCCAAACGGCTCTGACAAGACCTTTCCTCGTGTAGACAGTGGAGTGACACAATCCCGGGCAAAGCTGATGGGCCCAGGACAGCTAGGAGTCAGAGACACACAGGGCTTCCACTGCGTCACTCAGACCCTGGTTGACACCCCCTACAGCCAGGAGGCAATTCTTGATGGTGATGCTGGAGCAGGCACAGCGGGGCGTGGGCATGGGAGGGAGGACCTCCCACTTGTTCTTCCCTGGGTGGAATGCTTCTGCGGTCTCCAGGACAGTGGGTTGGTTTCCTGAAAACACCAAGGGAATCAGATCTTACCAAAGAGTCCGGCTGCCAAGAGTCCATGCCCCGAGGTTACTCGCCTCTTCTTCCCTCCCTTGGGAACCCCAAGCAAAAGCCAAGCAACATCAGCTTTCCTGGCTATGGGATGGTTCCCTCTTCCCTGTCCTGGGCTGGTAGCTCCAGTCAGGAGGCCTCTTTACCCTTCTTACCCTCTCCTTATCTTTTTAGGTCTTTAAGGATAGCTTTCTTTTTTTTCCACCTCTGGGTTTTTTTTTTGTGTGTGTGCTGGGAATTGAACCCAGGGCCTTGTGCATGCAAGGCAAGCACTCTACCAACTGAGCTATATCCCCAGCCCTCCAAACTCTGGTTTTTATCAGAAGTTTCTAGAGCACTACTGACTCCCTCCTGCTTTTCACTTAAAAAGCTACCCCATGGCCTAGCTTATACTGTCTTTCATGCGTGAGTAAAGTGTGAGTATGTCCACAGCAAGTAAACGTGGGGTACCTGGAACCCCCCTGCCTATGTCTCTCTGCCCTGATGACACTGGACTTTCTCCTCTTGGAGTCCCTCCTTCAAAATATCAATGATCTCTGGGAGGGAAAACACACCAAATTCACAATTCATTAGAATTTATAAATTTGATCGGATTCTTTTCTAATGGAACTCTATCTTGTCTTTTTCGATAGAGCTGGGTATTCCAGGAATGTCTTGAATACCTGGTGCTAGTCCAGAGAAGGATGAAGGCTGATTCCCTCTGGACCTTGTCTCTAGTCATTCTCAGAGAGGGCCCCAGGGATTTGTGCTTCAGCAAGCCTAGGTTACATAGTTATCAGTGTGTTCCTTATTCTCTCTGGGCCTGTTTCCCTGGTGCAAAGCAGAATGACCACATTGATCAGTAAAGTCTAGGCCAGGAGGCAGGGAGTGGTTTTGAATTATTTAGAATAAAGCGGAGGCAGGTAGAGTGCGAGGGCCAGACCCTTTGCTACTTATGCAAAGTGCCAAGGATCCAGGAGTATCAGAACCACAGTGCCTTCCATCCTAGAACTCCATCCTTACCAAGTCCCCCAGCCACTATGACCCGTCCACTCAGAGAACCAGCCACGAAGTCTGCCCGTCGTTTCTTAAGAAAGAATGACCGTTCCATCTTCAGCCATCCCCCTACAGGCAGGATAGAGGGAGGGAATTAGATGCTGACCAAATACAGAGAAATCCCAAATGGCTCTTACCCTGGGCAGTGAGTCCCTTCCATTACCCTTATACTCAGGGTGTGCATGGCACCCCTTGCTGTTTGAAATGACATCTTCTGAGACCTCTGCCCTCTCCTGATCTTGCTGCAAGCTAAGGGACCATGATCCTCACCATGAATCCTCTGCTCTATTTCAGTTTTCCCAGGCTTTATGCTGAAGAGGAGGCTGATAAAGGTGGTGAGCATTGGGACCCCTGTTTCTCCATCAGTTAAAAATAGGTGAGATTCAGCCAGACACAGTGGTGCACATCTGTAATCCCAGCAGCTCAGGAGGCTGAGGTAGGAGGATCCTGAGTTCAAAGCCAGCCTTACGAAAAGCGAGGTGCTAAGCAACTCAGTGAGACCCTGTCTCTAAATAAAATACAAAATCGGGCTGAGGGTGTGGCTCAGTGGTTGAGTGCCCCTGAGTTCAATCCCTGGTGCCCAAAATGTAGGTGAAATCACTCCCTGGCCTGGTCCTGCATGGATAATGTTCAAAGAAGAAATAACAAGTAGAACAGGCTTTGATGAAAACAACCAACCAGGCAAAAGGAAGCCCTGCACAGATCAAAGAATCTGACCCCAAGAGTAGCCATTAGTGGTTCTGGGTAAGGGCTGGGCACTGGGTAAGGGCTGGGTGCTGGGTGCTGCGTTAAGGGCTCACCCAGCTGGGTAAGTGACCTGGAAAGAAGGGTGGGATGTGGGCAGTAGGGGTCAGTTGGAAGGGAGGAAAGCAGCCAGAGTCCTGCAAGAGCAAGGAGCAGGCTGGTGCCCAACTCACCCTGTTCCATGTCAAACACATCCATTGTCCGCAGGAACTTGGGCTGCCGATAGAGCCGACCCTGCCGCAGGCCTCCAAGACTGTACAAGTGACTGTCCAGGGTCACAAAGCTGGAGAAAGCCCGCTTACAGGGAATGTTGGGGAACTTGGTCCAGGAGCGAGTCTCGATGTCGAAGACCTCGAAGGCATTGACTGCATACTTGGACTGTCGTCCCCCTGGAGGCCATATGGGGTGGTACATGGGGGTGGGCAGGAGAGTAGTCCCTGAGGACAGGGGCTGGGGTCTTCTTCTGACTGTCACCCATTCATCCAGGAGGCTAGCTAAGGCCTGGGGCAACATGATTACCCCCCTCCCCAACACACACACACTCAGTGCCAACGAGCTGTTCAGCCCACGGGCACTGTTTCTCTGGAGAACCAACCCAAGGGAGGTAACCCATTCTTACCCAGCACGTAGATCTTGGAGCCTCGGAGGAAGGAGGTGGCAGCATATCTCGGGGTAGGCATGGGTGCGAGTGACACCCACATGTCCTTGAGCATGTCATAGTGCTGGAGATGGTTGTGTGGACGGAGGTCCAGGCCCATCCCGCCTGCTGCGTACACTCGGTAATCTAAGAAGAAAGGTCACACACACTTCTGGCTTAGCTCATGGGCACCAGGAGACAGAGCCAGGCTGTTTCCAACCACTGCTCTGCCAGAGTGAACCACATCTGTCATTGTGGTTGATGGCACCATTCAAAGTCCCTGTCACAGCTGAGCCTGGGTTTTCCTGAAGCCAAAGTGGGACTGCATGCCTTAGCCCTTCTTGGTGCCCAGCCCTTGGCTAAGCTCCAAACTCTAGGTCTTCCACAGAGAGACTGCGGTGAGGTCTACAGCACTTTACAGGTCTTGGCCCTCTGCTGCCTTCCTTCTTGGGCAACCAGAGGGGAAGCCAAAGGGAAGAGGAATTCTTTTTATGCCCTCCAGCCGCAGCCTGTGCTCAAGCCACCCCTACCTGGAACTCTCTAGATAGAGCAGGGCCTTTAGAAACAAGGGTAGCTCCCCTGTCACTGGCCTTATGGGACACTGGACTGTCTGGTTTTTGCTTTCTTTGCTACCCTTATGCGCAAATGCCATCCTTCTTCGCCAATTGAGGATGCCAGGGGATCCAGGAGGCACCCTGCATTAATGGGACAGGGCCAGAACTGAATGAGGGTGACACTTGAGGAGAGAGACTTGGCCTCTTTAAGAAACTGCCTGGCAAGGATCTGGGCGTTCTGAGAAGGGAGTCTCTTCCCTCCTCCACTGTCCTTGACTATAGGTGACCTTTCAGGGACCTCCCTGACAGACTACACCACAGATGGATAAGGCATTTGTGTTTTCTTGGGATTCACAAATGGTACTGGTCTTCACTCAGTACCTCCTGGTCTGTTAGGAAGACAGCCCACATCCCAAGGCCCCCTAAGAGCCCCCCACCAGACATATATATGGGGTTAGGGATATATATATATCTGGTGGGGATATATACACACACACATATATCTCATAATATATAATCTCCACCCAGCCCTAACCTGAGCTTGGGAAATGGGGCCTGATAAGGAATAACTCACCTATTGCATGCTCCACCCCTCCCCTCTTACCTGAAACTCCTCCTCTTGGGAATCCTCCCATTCACTCCATACTCCCACCATTCTGTTTTCAATTCTGACTCCTCCTTTCAGATTCACCTGGGTCTCTTGAATTGCAAGGCTGGGCTGAGGGCACCACTTAGTGCCTCCATCACCCTCCTTGCCATATATTACTGAAATCATCTTTGGATCTTTGTTCTTCCAATAGACTGTAGGTCCTTGAGAATCTGTTAGTCTGTAGTCCCAGAATCTGTTACAGTGCCTGACACCCATGCATGTAAATGCTTCTTAAATGCTGAATCCATTCAATGCCAGAGACATGACATCACCTACTAGCTGTGTAAACTTGGGCCAGTGACTTAGCCTTTCTGGACCTTACACTGCTCCTCTCTAAAACGAGGATGAAAGTCTGAGGATGTAACTCAGTGGTAGATGCTTACCTAGCATACATAAGGTCCTGGGTTTGATCCCTAGCACAGCAAAAATAAATAAGCAACTAAGGATAAAAATAGCACTTACCTCCTTGGACAGGTCGTGAGGATCAAAGTGGATAAAACATCAGTAGTAAATGTTATTTCTTAACCTTTCAGCAGTTTATTGAGGACAGGGAATGGAGGGTACTCTTTCCCCCCTTCTGGGTTCCCCATGGACCTTGGTGTCTTCCATTATCTTTACTGGGATATCAGAGAAACCCCACTAGCTACCCTATCCTAGGGGACTCTGGGCTAGAGCTACATCCTGGGTACCTTCAGTGGGTCAGACCTCAGCTTCTGGAGGCAGGAACCAGATCTTCTGCCTCTTTCCTTCCATTCTGAGGCCTACGACTGACTGTGCCAGGGACTGGGCAGGTTTTAAGGAAATAGTGGTTTCTGACCTATGGTGGGCCTCACAGGCAGGTGGGGTGGTTTAAGCAAGGGAGGCAGGAGTGGTGGTGGGGGGTGGATTTCACATCCCTCTGCATGCCTATGCTGCCCACGCACGTGTGTATGAACTTGGAATTTCTTAACTCCTATTTGACCATTTCTTCTAAAACTCTGTGTTTTAGCAAAAGAGCTTTTGGACTCTGCTCCCACCCCATGCTCTAAGCTGTGGTAGGCCAAAAAGGAACAAAACAAGGGACTTTGAGAAAGTAAAATGAGAATCTTAGAACCATGCAGTCAGCATAAGCATGCCTGAAAACTTGGTGAACTTGGAGAACACAACCCTCAGGGACATTCTGGTCTCTACTTGGCATCACTGAGACTGGGAGATAGAAGGGAAGGGGAGAAAAAAGTCCTTGAATCAGTCCCAAGGGCCCCTAGAGGGGCCTTGGTGATGGTGCAAGGATGGAGTGAACATCCTCAGCACCCCATAAGGAATTTGGAGGTAGTGACAGGTAGGGCAGGTTTCATGGCAAGGAGTGTGGCCAGTGGGAGGGGTGGTAATTTAGCTGAACGTTTGCGGAGACATTGCACCTAACTCCACAGACTACACTTTGAGTCTCCCCTCTGGCAGAGGCCTGTCCCGCTTGTTGGGAGGAAGCTGCCAAAGTGGACTTTTGCCATCAGTTGGAATTCCTAGACACTTGCTGAGCCTCATTTTTCCCATTTGTAAATTAGGGCATTTTGGATTTCCTGTTTTAGCATCCACTGTGAGGATCAATAACGTGAAGCGGAATCAGGAATGGGATCGTGAATTCCTAAATCAGTGTTGGTTTCTCTCCATTTCCCCAGGCCCCCTACTCTCTTCAATCCACCCACCCTCAGCCCTGGCCTCACTTGCCTTTTGCTGTGACAGAAATGCCCATGGCAGCCTCGCGCAGCATGCTCCTCTTCTTCCACTTGCCCTCATCAATATTGTACATTTCCACGACCTTCAGGGGCAGCTGATTGGTGCCCACACCCCCAATCACCATGATCCGCTTCCCCAGGGCGATGACTGCCACCCCTGCCCGGGCTGTGGGCAGAGGGGGCAGGGCGGTCCACTGGTCGGCCTCAGGGGAGTAGACCTCAAAGCAGTCCATAGGGACACCATTGTCATCACATCCCCCGATGGCATAGACTTGTCCCCCGGTCTCCAGCAGGGAGCAGTAGACCCGGCGGCTAGGAAGCGGTGCCAGGCGTTTCCACTGAAAGTCCTTGACATTAGGCACCTCCATAGCAGCCCTGGGGACCCTGCCCGCCCCGTCCCGGCGCAGCGCTAAAGGAAGTTCAAGCCTGGGATTTGCGGACTACTCCGCGCCTGAGCCCTCTTGCCTGTCCCCTCTTGCCGCCTCCATCTCGCTGGCTTGCTCCAGCCCGACGCCGGTCAGCACTTCACCGTCCCTCAATTCTCAGCGGTCCGGTGGCGTCCAAGCCTGGTCCTGCGGGAGGAATCGGGCAAATCAAGGGCAGCTGGGGCCACGCGCCCTTGCGGCTGGCGGGCTCACGGGCGACCTCCACAGCTTCTCGCCAACTTTCAAGGGAGACACAGTGGCATCCCGCCCCACCCTGCTTTGTCCCCCTGTGCGTCCCCGCGCGTCTGGGAATCCGCCTGAGCGCGCGCAGGTTCCGGGGCTCTCAAGGGTTCCCGGCGCCGGACCACCCCCGGGAAGGAAGGAGTGACATCCGTCAGCGTAGACGCCTCCCGCCCGGCCATCTCGGTGCTCACACCCCCGCGCCACTTACACTGCCAGGCCGGAGCAGCGCGGCGGCGAGTAGACAGTGCATCCCCCGGGCGCCGGGAGCCCCAGCCCGGCGGCGCGGGGAACCGGGGAGAGGGCGCTCTGTCCTTCCCCAGTCCGCACGCCGCTGTCGCACACGCAGATGAAAACAAATGAGCTGCAGGAAGGAGCAGCGGAGCTGCGGGCCGGGAGGCCGGCGAGCCGGCTCCGCTTGCAGCTTCACCCGCAGCCGCCACACCTGTGCAGGAATCGCGCGCAGCGGCGGAGCGAGCCCCGGCCTCTTTACATAACGGGGGAGGGAAGGGCCCTGGCGGCTGGAGGCGCTCACCTTGTCTACACGGCCAAGGGAAGTGGGGATGAGGGGGGGGGGGCTAGGGCCAAGTACCAAGATGACAGGACCAGACTCCCTCCAGCGCGGGGGCGGGCATTTGCGAGTGTTTGTTTTGGATGAGGAGGCGGAGAGTCCAATTACCCAGTTTGTCTACAGTACACAGACCCAGTTCGTGACAGGCTGGCTTTGCTTTGGGGGAGGTATTAGCATATGGTTTAACCTCATGGAAACAAATTACGTGGGAGTGACACGGAGCTCTAACACAGGTACATCTGAACACAACCTGCACGCATATACGTAACTACCCATTGCCCTCCCCGAAATGGACACGTCCACGTCCACGATCTACAGAGCAACTGACAAATGCACAGATATGGGGACACAGTACCAGAGACACCAACATAGGCACATACCCTGGAGGTCCCTTTCTGTCTTTCTCTCACATAGGCACATAGGACACACCCACACCACAGAAAGGGGAAACCTGATTATCATATCTTGGTCCTTGGAACAAACCCACAGAACTGTACAGATAATCCTTTCAAACCACTCAAATAGACTTTTCAGGACTATGGCCTCCAGCCATAAAGGTGCCCATTACACAGTGGACCACCAGGTCTGGTGGACTATTATGGTTACCTCCAGTACAGCTGTATTTCCAAACACCCAGGCTTGGGAGCCTGATGGACCTGAGATTGAATCCTGGCTCTGAAAGTTTTGAACTACTCTGAGTCTTGGTTTCCTTACATATATTCTCAGTTAGACTTTTTATTTTGAAATAATTATACTTTCACATTTGGTTGTTAGAAAAAAGACTCTTTACCCAATTTCCCTCAATTGAAATTCAAAACACCATAGTATGTTTGACATTACCACAACCAGGTGATTGAAATTGACCAGTGAAGGTACAGAATATTTCCATCACCAAAAGGATCCCTCATATCATCCTTTTATGCCAGACCTACTTGCCTCCCACTTCCCCAGTCCCTGGTATCTAGAAAGAAATCTGCTCTCCATTTCCATAAACTTGTCATTTCAAGAATATTATACAAATAGAATGGGACATATGTACCATTACGTATGTAACTCCCCGGAGATCCATGCCAGTTGTTGAATGCATCAATATAGTTCATTCTCTTCTGTTTCTTTGTAGCATTTCACTGTATGGCTGTATCCTTGCAGGTTTTTGTGAAGATTAAATGAGATAACATTTAGGAAGTGTTCACTATACCTCTAGACACATCAAAGGGCCTACCTAGTAAATTTCTATTAATATCATTACTGTTTCTATGACTTCTTGAAATGAAAATATCAACACATCTATCTTAGTATTTTGAGCTCTTAACAATTCCACTATTTTTAAAATTTAAATTCTCATACTTAATAAAATGAACAACCTTAGACCTTCTCCAGAAGAAGATTGTGTTCTGTTTTTTCTGTTCAATAAGAATTTATACCTTCTGGGCTGGGGTTGTAGCTCAGCAGTAGAGCACTCACCTAGCATGTGCAAGGCCCTGGATTTGATCCTCAGCACCATATAAAAATAAATAAAATAAAGGCATTGTGTCCAACTACACCTAAAAATTAAATGAAGAATTTATACCTTCTGAATTAATGAAGTTTTCTAGGAATCATCAAACGTTTCCTTCCTCCCTTGCCTAGTCTACCCAAAGGAATAGGGAACAAGCCCCTTACCTCAACCTGACCATTCTTTACAAAATCAGCCTGGGGTGACCAGGAAGGCTGAAAGCCACAGGTCCTTCTCAAAGGGGCTTTTTTTGGGGTCTGTGTTCAGCCTTGCTGGTCCCTGAGCCTTCTGCACAAGTAGTGAGGCCAGGCTTCTTGTACCTCCACACAGCTGGAACAGATTAACAAGTAGATATACAGACTTCCATACTTTATGTTTATGTCACTCAAAGAGATAAGCTAAGCCATCACTCATCTACTTTCTCACAATCTTGAAACAACCCTGGGAGAGGCTACTAGAGCAGGTTTCAGTATCCACACTTTACAGATGAGGACTCTGAGACTTAGTGAAGTGGCTTATTTATGACAATGCAAATCATTCGGGGTGGGCTAGATTGTAAATTCAAATCCAGTGCCTGTCCACTTTATCACAGTTAAACCACAAATGAAAAAAAATTGTGTGTTATTAAAGGAAAATGGTTTTTCCACTCTCATCTGGCTCCTAGACTTTTGTCCAACTGCAGAGAAGGAAGGAGCCCAGACCCCCAAGGGGATTCTAGCCACTGCCTGTACTGTACTGTCTGTGTTGGGTGACACAGCTAGGGAAGCACCCAGATCAGCCCCTGGATAGGTTCCCATTCTCGACTAATGTTCATATCCTACAGGCACTGCCCACTACACAGACCATGGAGTCTAGAGACTTGGGCCTTTGGAAAAGTACTAAGGACAGGGAGACTTCTAGGCCATGGCCTAATTGTCTATTCTGGAAGTCTTGGCTTGTTTCCACCTCCCCCAACACTTCCCCCATGGCTCTTCCTCCTAGCCAGGTGACATCCTTTAGTACTTACATTGAGTGCACATTAAAGAAGCTTGTAACCTAGCAACCACCACTTAAGATTCCCTGAGTCACCTGCAGTTTCCATGCCTGGGCTGAGTGAACCAAGCTGTGGCCTTCAGGAGTGCTAAGCAGAAGGGGAGACCAGAAGTGGTCCCTTTGCTCTCTCACCATCCCATTCCAGTGTATAACCACCTTCCCAATTAGGAAGTTCTTCCTCATCCAAATTTGCATCCTTCTTGCTCTAAGATCTTGTGTAGTACCAGGCCTGGGTTTCTCTTATTCCTTGAAAAGTGTTTGATGGGGCTGGGTGTGGTGGTGCACACCTGTAATCCCAGAGACTCGGGAGGCTGAGGCAGGAGGATTGCAAGTTCAAAGCCAGCCTCAGCAACTTAGTGAGGTCTCAATATAAAAAAATTTTAAAAAGAAAGGAGGGTAGGGGTTGTGGTTCAGTGGCAGAATGCTTGCCTCGCACATGTGAGGCACTGGGTTCCATCCTCAGCACCACATAAAAAATGAACAAACAAAATAAAGATATTGTGTCCATGTATAACTAAAAAATATTTTAAAAAAGAAAGGAGGGCTGGGATATAGTTCAGTGGTTAAGCACCCCTAGATTCAATGCCTGGTCTCCCCCCAGGCCCCCCCAAAAAATGTTTGATGGGGCTGGAAGCATAGCTGAGAGGTAGACTGTGTGCTTAGCATGCATGAGCCTTAAAACAAAACACCAAAAACAGACAAGGAAAGTGTTGGACTTTTTACTGTGGTGGGAGGGGAAGAGAGTGAGGAAGGAAAGAGGGGCTACATAGGAAAAGAAAGATCAAAAAAGTCCCTAAAGATTAGGGACTTTGGAATTGGGTATGGTGGCACACACCTATAATCCCAGCTGCTCAGAGAGGCTGAGGCAGGATGATCACAAGTTCAAAGTCAGCCTCGGCAGCTTAGTGAGATCCTGTCTTAAAAAAAGTACTTTAAAAAGGGGCTGGGGATGTAGCTCAGGGATAGAGAATCCTTGGGATCAATGGAATATACATATATGTATATATGTGTACACATACACACACATATATATTTGTTTATTTATTTTTGGTACCACTTAACAACCGAGCCACATCCCCAGCCCCCCCCTTTTTTTTTCATTTTAAAATTTTGAGACAGAGTCTCTAAGTTGCTTAGGGCCTTTCTAAGTTGTTGAGACTGGCTTTTAATTCATGATCCTCCTGCCTCAGCCTCCCAAGTCACTTGGAGTACAGGTGTGTGCAAGCACGCCCAGCTTATTACTGTGATATTGATGCATCAATCCAACTTGGACATGCTCAGCTCCAGAAAGTCACAGTTTTTTTTTTTAGTCATATCTTGAATTTGTTGAGGTCTGATTTACATACAATAAAATGAATCTTTTACTCAGTGTCTATGGAGCAGCTGTTAGGTATTCAGCAGGGTCCCATCTTCATGAGTCCTGAGTAGGTTATGGGGAAACTGGAGTGCAAAAAACACAGAGGCAGCTTCTCCCTGCAGCCTATGGATGGAGCATCTGTGGATGGGTTTGGAGGGCCAAGAAGAGGACACATTTGAGAGGATGGGAGAAAGAGGAGTTAAGTATTAGTTACCACAGAATCTCTTTCTCCCTTCCTAGAAATAGGCCTGACCCTTGTCAGTAAGCACCTCCTGAGTGCCCCTGCAAGGTGCCATGCTGGCTAGAGGGACACTGGGGTAAGTGTCCAAGCCCAAACCACCTCCTCTATGTAGTTGTCTTTCTGCAGTGCCCTGCATATTATAAGGTAGTGGGAAATTGTGTGGACTTTGGAATTGGACTCAGTCTAAATCTTGGCTTTGCCCCTTCTGTGACCATGAACAAGTTACTTACTTCTGACCCTGAGTCAGTTTCCTAGTCTGCAAGAAGGAAATAAAAAAAAAAAAAAAAGTCTTCTTTGAGGAAGGCAATGCCCTGCAGAGCTCCTGGGCACATCCTAGGTACTCCCAAAAGGTTGGTTTTCTTTCTTCCCCTTGGGATGGCAAGTTTCTGTACCTCCAACTTGCTGCCTATTGGAGCCAGTATGCTCTAAGGAGTAGGAGCCAATTTTACAAATTAGGCAGCCTTCCCAGGATATGTTCCCTCCTGCTAACTGAGATCTCTTCCACTGCAGCCTAACTTGTAGTCTGATGTGCAGAACATCTGGATAATTACCTCATTCCTAATAAAAGCCTGGATGTATGCAGGGATGGGAAGAAAGATGACGACTCCAATTAGGACCCAGGGAGCGCTGGAGCCATCCAGGGGAAGGGGTGGTCCCTCCCCTCAAGCCTGGACAAGCCTCCTTATGGGCTTTTCTTGCCAGGAACAAACATCAGCCCAGAAAAAGGATTTAGGGTTCAAGGGCACTTGATGGGATATGGTGTGGCACAGCTGCAGGTCAGAGCCATAATCTGCATCTGCATAAGCTGTTCTGGTGGGACAGCTGCCCCAGGGGTGGAATCCAGCAGAATGGATGTGCTGTTAGGGCTCGCCTCCTGACCAATAGCCTTTATTAGAGAGTTGAGTTGGCACATTCCTTCAAGAACCTTCTCTGCTCCTTCCCTGCCTGTGCACAGGTATTGTATCATAGGGGGACTTAATGGGTTTCAGTTAAGAACTGTCTCTATCTGTGAGCAATTGCCTATTGCTCACTGATTTAGGTGAAACGGGATTGAGGTAAGGGGTGATGGGGTGGAGAAAGGGGTCCCCTTGGTTTTCAGACTCAGAAGCTGCCCAATTTGGGAAACAAAGGGTTGGAAAGCTGCACACTCTGGCTACTTAGTGCACACAATAAAATTGACAGTGGGAAGGGGACTCTCTGAAAGACCTCGGCTTCTTCCCTGTACTTCACGAGAAAATTATAGAGAAAACCTGGTTCATACAAAGCTTGGGGACCAGGTTAGAAACCAGGAAGAAAATTTCCTGATCAACTGCATCAGAAACTTAAAAAACAGTGTGAAGTGAGGTGGGAGGCCATGAGGTCACTTCCTTTACTGTCACCTCTGCGAGATACTAGAACTAGGATGGACACAGGGCCAAGAGTCAGGAGACCTCTGCTCTAGCCCATGTTTGTCATAACCCAGCAGTGTCACCCTGGGCGTGTCCTATTCATTCAATATCTGCAGTGTTGGAAGGAAATTGATGAAGAGAGCAGCTGGGGGTGTCTCCTAGAATCAGCATCCCATGTTTACTCCCAGAGACAGAATTGTCTGGCCATAGTCACAAAGCAGAAGATTCTAGAATGGACATCTTCACATTCTTCTAGGAACTAAGAATTCACACTGACTTGACCCCACGTTCTCTCATAAGCATTGACAGCTACCCAGGGTGCAGTCACTAAAGAGGGCTTGGCCAGGGGCTTTCCCCTGGTCCTGGTACTGCCACTACACACATTTCCCTCCAGTCAGCCCAGGATAAGGGGAGTCTTGTGGTAGCTGCGGCCGTGGCTGACGGGCTGCCTGCATTAGACCTTCAGTACCCATCTGGAAGTCTAATCATGCTTCCTGTTGGGGTTTGACATTTCCGGGGTGCCTCTTGTCTCCCACAGCTGTTGGCACAGTAGGCAGAGGACTCAAGAACTCAAATCACATGGCAATCCAGCCTTTTCTCTTAGAAGGAAAATGTGCCCATTTGTCCCAGCTCATCAGGTAAGGGCCTGACTGGGCGCTGGGGCCACTAGGGGGCCTTATCCTTCTCCCTTCTAGCTTGGTGGGCAGCAGAGGCTTCCCTAGAATCCAGGCAGCTCTGCAGAGCAGCAGAGGCTGCAGGCAGGATGGCTGGGGGTGGGACGGCCCACTCAAACATAGCTCTTTAAATGCTGTTAATATTGCCATTTCCAGAGCCAGCAATGTCCTCCATTCTTCTTAATTAAAAAGAGCTCTGTGTCTGGCAGAGCTGAAAGAGGGCCCTGAATGATTTACACACCAACCCTGCTGCTTCCGGCGGGGGAAATCAACAAGGAAGATTGATTGGCAGATGGGCCAGTCTGCCTGTCACGGATGGTGTGTGTGTGTGTGTGTGTGTGTGTGTGTGTGTGTGTGTGTATACTGTGCATACCGGAGGAGGGGGCAGTCTCAGAGTGAGCGGGGCCACAAACCCACAGCCCGGCTCCATGGAGCTCAACTATTCGAGTCCAGATCAGGCCTGTTTTGGAATCAAGGCCTAACCAAAAGCCTGGCCTGCTCACCTCTCACTGGGGTTCATCTTCTGAGCAAAACTACTTTATCTGAGGAACAAAACTCAGATAACAAGGCTGGTGTGTCCACTCAGAAGACACAGAGGCTACTTGCTTGAGATGCCTCTTACTTCCAGATGGGATTGCTCACCTGTGTGCACCATATATTGGGCTTCAGTTTGTTCATTGCTACTCACTTTAAGAGGAGGAGAGTTGGAAGCCAACTCTCTGGGAACTTTATGGGGCTGGGAAGGAAATAATGGGGGCCCACAGGTTGAACTGGTGTGAGATGACACTCCCTCTAGGGAGCCAGGAAGTGAGAGCAGCTACCCTTGGAGGCTCTAGCTCTCTTCTACCTCTCCTAGCCTTGGCCTTGGGGCAGTCTCATTCCTCACCCCAAGACTCTATTACCCTCCAAGAGCCCATCATCCTACATGGGCACCAGAGAGGTAGGGCGAGCTCTCCCTCCTGTCTGTCTGCCTGGAGGGGTCTGTATGCTCTCTTCTTCTGAGCAAAACTACTTTATCTGGGGAACAAACACTTTCCTTTCCCTTAAGTGCTTCACATTACACATCACACACACACACACACACACACACACCCTCCTCCCCAGAGTCCCAAAGAAGGACCAAGCAGAGTCATGTTGAGGGGAGCGGGTGGTTGGAGAGTAGCAGCCTCCAGCACCCTGCTTTGAAGCCCACTCCAATGGGAGATGGGCAATCTGCTGTGGCAGCCAGGTTGCCATCTGGTATGCTGACCTGCGTCACCTCTGTGCTGTGGACAGAGAGGACGAGGGGAGGTGTGATGGGCTGGCTGCAAGAGGGTTGTATAGGTCTAAGAGATGAGAGACCAGAAAGGTGAGAAGCAGGCCAAGCTGTGTGTTGGGGAGTGTCTCAAGGTCTTCTTATCATGGCAGCCACTCCCAGACCTGGTAGGTGTGGAGTTCAGTTTGAGGAACCTGAGGAACCTGCTACCTTGGTTGAGGAAAGAGAAGCAGGGCCTGAGCCCTTAGGAACCCGTCTGTAGCCTGTTATCGACAGAATGTGGATTCCTGAATATTGCCCAGGAGTCACCAGGCCTTCCCTGGGCATCACCTGGTAAGGAGCAGAGTGACCCCCATTCATTCCCTGACCTAATGGCTGGCGCCCCAGGAGGAACCACCACCAGCGATCCTCTGTGTCCTTTGTTCTGGTCCAAAAAGGGCTAGTTATTTTATTTTATTTTTTTGTTAGGTGCCATCCTTTTCCTGCAGCCTAAATCTCAGGAGTCATGTTCTGCAAGGTTCCTCAGAACAGGTTCTTCCAAATTATAGGCACAGTACTGCCCTAGCACAGAGGTTGATAATGACTCTATGACCCAATCCGGCCCACTGCCTGGTTTTATATGACCTGTGTCATCTTAGAATGGCCCTTCCATCTTTAAATGGCTGGGGGAAAATACGTCAGGATACGTGAATATGCTGTGAAACTCACTTCTCAGTGTCTATAAATAAAGTCTCTAGGAACGCAGCCTCCCTCGCTCACGTGTCGTCCGTGTGGCCTTCCCGCTGGTGTAGAGTAGTCACAGCACGGTGTGGCCCACACAGCATGCAATACTTACTATCTGGCCTTTTATAGACCATGTTTATGCCTTCTTCCCACCGTTGGCTATTTTAGGTAACAAGAGGATGACACCCTTTTCTTGACCACTTGTTCCATACTTACTGTGTCATGTTGACACGGCAGGATCTGGGGACAATGGAGGGGAATTAACAGTTGCCGAGTACTTACTGTGTGCCAGGCACCTTCTCTCTGCTCATCACACAATCTCCCCAACAATTTCAAGGGGAATGAGCACTAGTAGCTCCCTTTCCATTGCAAAGGCACGGAGGGAGATCAGGAGCCCACCTACTTCCTACAGAGGTCAAAAGAGGATCCTGGGACTGGGATGTAGCTCAGTGGTAGATCAAGTGCTTAGCAGCCCTGAGTTCAACCCCAGTACCCGCCAAAAGAAGAGGATCCTAGATTCAGACCCAGTTTGGCCTGACTTCAATTCTCATATGCTTTTCAGGCTACCATGATTTTTTTTTTTTTGTACTGATGGGAACCTAGGGATGCTCTACCCCTGAGCTACATCCCTGGACCCTTTTTATTCCTTTTATTTTCAGACAGGGTCTTGCTAAATTGCTGGGCTAACTTTGAACTTGTGATCCCCCTGCCTCAGCCTCCTGTGTTGTGAGTTGCAGGGATTATGGGCATGCACCACCACACCCAGCTCAGGATGCCATGATTCTAAAATGACCTCCAGCAGCTCCCGTGGCTGCTGGTTTGAGCATTGCCATCAACAGATAGGGAACTCGGGGCTTAGGTTTTAGGGACCCAGGCCCCACCTCAGGCTTTCTTAGCCTCAGAGACTGGTCCTCATGTGAGGGGAGTGTGGGTCACAGACAGCAAATCAACAGTGGTGACAGTGGCAAATGTCCATCTCATGCCTCTCAATGGTGGCAGATCTCCCTCCCTCCAGGGTGGGGCTGTGGGTATCAGTGCCATCAGTGCCACCTCCCTCCTCCTTCCTGCTTCCTCGTCCTTTGCTATCTATTTTCATCACTTACCAACTTTCCTTTGGGAAGATTCAATTTGCATTTAAATAGAAAACCTCCGGAATGGCTCTGATACAACGCTAAGGTGCTAATTACAAATTCATTTCTCTTTAAATATTAAGGCACTTCAGTTCATCTCCGGGGTGGTGGAAGGCAGCGGAAAGCTTGGTATTTATGAGTAATGAATTTTGAGCTGTTTACTGCAAAGCGCTTACAACTCCCCATCACCAGAGGGCAGAGAGGAGGTGTTTGAAAGATCTATGCCGGGACCAGGGGCGCGTCTTGGGAGCTGAACATCAACTAAAATCAATGTCCAACAGCAATAATCCTTGAGGAACACTGGAGAGTGGTCAGTGGGGTAGAAGCAGTTAGGGCAGGGCACCGGAAGGCCTCAGGTTGGCAGTTTCTCAAATTGCTGATAAGTGTTTCGGGGCAGGGCTCCTGCTTGTCTCATTCACCGCTCTTTCCTATCACTGGGTCTGGTGCCTGGCATTCAGTGGGGACTCCAGGAACACTGGGTGTATGAATGCATGCATGAATAAAGGGAGTCAATTAATCAGTTATGGGAGAGATCATTCATTCAGCTACTGCTATGAGTCAGACATTTCTCTAAACGATTTATAAGAGTCTTTCTGTTAAATGGTTTATTCCTTTGCATTTCCCCGAATGGTGTGTAGACAATGCACTAATTCTCTTTGATCTTGAAGAATAGTACTTGGCATTTTACAAAACGATTTATAATTTCATATTCACATGCAGTCCCTCTTGTCCCAGGGAAACTAGGGCACTTAACCACTGAGCTATATCCCAAATTCTTCACATTTTTATTTTGAGAAAGGGTCTCACTAAGTTGCCCACCCAGGCTGGCCTCAAATGTGAGATCCTCCTGTCTCAGTCTCCTGGGTCACTGGGATTTGCGGGTATATGCCACTGCGCCAGAGTCACATGTAGTATTTAATAATTGGAGGTAAAGCTGGGAGATAAATCAGGTTGTATTGTTTCCACTGCATAAAGGAGAAAACAAACTCAAAGAGGTGAGAAATAGTCCCAGAGCACCCAGTTCAACCTAAAGCTCAGCCAGAACCCAGCTCTGGTCTCAGGCTCCCAGTTTGGCTCTCTTAAGTGCCATCTTCCTCTTGTCCCTGTGCTGGCATGTTTGTGCTAGTATTCACAATGTTCTGCTCTAAAAGTGACCTTATTTTAAAAAATGCTGGGAGCCCAAAGTCCAGCCCCACTGCCCGGGCAGCCTCCGGGCCTGGGCTCCAGGTGATCATCAGACTTTCCAGTTCTTTTGTGCTCTGTGTCTCCTGCCCTCATCCTTGCTTGTCAAAAAGCTTTGCTTCCTCTGTTGCTCAGCCTGAGTGCTACCTTCTCCAGGCTGGCAGGATCCCTACAGACAAGAGCAACCATTCCCATCTTCTATGAAACCGCATCTGTAACTGTGCATGTGGGATAATAACTGCAGTGGCCTTGCATGATAATAACCACCACAGATATGTGGAGCACCAGGCCCCATTCCTTACATCTTTTACATAATTTGAACCTCATAAGAACCCAAGAATAATAGTGAGCATAGTTAAGAAGTATGCCATGCTGATTTGTGGCATGAGCTGACCTAAGTTTTGGGTGTGTGTATAATTGAGCCTATAAAGTAGATACTATTATTACTGCCATTTTACGGATGCAGAAACTGAGACTCAGGGCCAACGACTTGCCCAAGGTCACACAGCCAGAACGGAGGTGTGAAACCCAGCTTGCCTGGCCCCAGAGTCTGCACACCCATCAACGTAGGTATTCTATTTTTCTTACCAGATAGTAAGCATTTTGAAGGTATGGGAACCGTGTGATGAGTCATTCTTGCCAAGCACAACCCATTCAGAGCCGAGCACAGCAACTGCCACATAGTACATACTCCATAAGTTGAGCTGAATGGGACCAGAAGCCAGAAGTTCAGGTATTGGCTGTCTGAAGGTCAGTCTGTGGCCTGGGCAGTGATCTTTGAACTTAATTAGCTGGTTTAAAACTAGATGGGAAGGAACCTTTAACTTCAAAGCCAGACAGGTCTAGCGAGCAGGAGAGGCCCCTGGAAGACCCTGTTCCTGCCTTCCCTTGTGCCAGCCCGTCTGGCTTGGGCGGCCCTCCTCTCACTAAAATCATTCCCCCAGCAGGCCCTGGGGGGCCAAGATGTCCCTCTGCATAGTTAGATTGAAATAAAGCTTACCTGACCAGGGAGCAAAGGACAGCAGGTGATCATCTGCAAAAGACAAAGGAGGGGGGAGGCTGGAGAGGGTCTGGCAGGTGTTGGCTCAGAGACTGGCTCCTGGGGGCAGTGTCAGCAACGTCCCCTGCGGTCCCAAGGGCTTCCTCCAGGACTGATGAGCCCAAGGCGTCTGTCTGGGCTGATGAACTGGGAAGCAGCCAGGTCCCTATGTCGGGGGCATGCAGCCAGCCTCCCCCAAATGCTCTGAAGCCTGGGGGGGTCCCTGAGCACCCGGAGCTGTGTCCCCCACCAGGAGGACCTCAGCTGGCCAGCAGAGCCCAGCGCCTCGGCTTGTCTCGGGGCGGGCGCCTCTCCCTCTGAGTCTCAGCTGCAAGGGCCTGCTCTGTGAGGAGAGGGTGAGGGGGCGGATGCGCTCACACACAGACAATAACTGCCATGGAAACTAACCAACAAAAAGAAGATTTAGGGAGCTGGACTCCTCTGGCAGATGAGAGAGAATGGAGGGAAGAGAAAAGGGGGCTGTCCGTTGCAAGGCTGCCCATGTGTGCCAGGGGCAAATGTCCATCTCAAGCCTCATTCAATGGCGGCCGATCTCCCTCCCTCCAGGGTGGGGCTGTGGGTAAAAGCCAGAAAAGTGGGTTAAGCTTTTTGTACTAGGGTTCCAAATAGCCACCCATATCTTTGCTTTTCTGTGCCTAGATGGGTCATCAGCGATTCAGAGAGGGTGAGCAGCTCCCGAGTAAAAGCTCAGCACCGATTGCAAAGCTGGTTTCATTCAATGAAGTGGTATGCTTCACCAGGCTGAGCTGCACCCCACTTCATTGCAGGTGGGAGGTTCTTAGACCAGGAGGCCAGCGTTTTAGCCACTTTTCTAGACAGGAAGTTAGAGCAGGCTGCCTGGGAGTTTGAGAAAGTGGGCAAGGGCTAACATAGATGTGGGACATGCGGTATCTTCCCACCGTATCCACAACATCATGCAGGGGATTGAACCCAAAGATGCCCTACCACTGAGCTACATTCCCAGTCCCCCCACTCCTGATGCTGGGGATTGAATCCAGGGATGTTCTTCTCTACACTCCCCGGTGCTTTTTATTTTATTTTATTTTTTATTTTACGATAGAGTATCACTTAGTTGCCCAAGTGCACCTTGCAATCCTCCTGCCTCCTGCCTGAATCTCTGGGATCACAGGCAGGGGCCACCGAGGCTTCTTTTTTTTTGGACTTTAAGCTCGGTTTAGGGGTATTTTCTTTTTGGAGCAAAAAAAAAAAAAAAAAACCTAACCAGGGAGAATCTTTTTCTTCTTCAAGAAGTTACTGGTGGGGAAAGAATGTAAACTGAGTGCCAGAAATTCTACTCCAGCTACTCAACTGTGTGACCTTGGGCAAGTCTCTTCATCTGTAAAACGGGGCTAATGAGGTGGCTTGGAGGATGAAACAAGGTAACATGGTAAAGAACGTAGAGCAGGGCTGCTCTCGGCATGTTGGCCATTTTTATTACCGTGGTTAATCCTTCTGATCCTTTCATTTCCTCAGCTATAGAATTAAGCCAGTTATGCCAGTCTCTCATGGAGATTAAATATGAGGATTAATTATGCAATTATACTTGACAGAGTGGTGGTTATGAGGGCAAACACATTTGTCAAAACCCACCAAACAATGCATTTTATTATATTCACATTACCCCCCCCCCTTTTGGGGGGCAATGCTGA